CTATTAGTTAGGTTGATGTTCGCGGCGATTGTACGAAGGGGAGTGATGAAAGTCGAGGTGGATCAATAGTTTGTCCGATTACCAAGGCCGACAGATCCCTCATATACGGACACACACACTCGTTTAGATAGCCAAGCACTCATTCTACCATCTACAGTGTCTATAGATATCATTGTCACCCTCCGTATAATCTAAGTTTCTTCTTCATATATAGCCTCGTGCAGTCCGGATAATCGACTCCCCGACTTCCCCGACTCGGAGTTAACCGCCTTATTGGTTTATCCGTTTCAATTGCCGACCCATAGTCACATGACTTCCTCCGCGGTTCTTTTTCGCCGCAATTACTCCAACAATTCGCTCGTGGGATGCTCTGAAGATCATCAATTCGCATTCCATATTTCGTTCTTTATGCTTGGAAATCCTTCTTGCTGAGAAGAATTGGCTCTTTGTTTTTTTGACCTGATTTCGATACTACCCTATCGAATCAGTTCGTTGCCTCCGATCCCCGACAAGGAACCTCGGTTACCAGAATTCCTCAGAGGCCGGATTGGGACTATTTTACGATAAGGCGGCTACCTGCATATAAGCAATTTTACAGATATTCCTAATGAGCCCGCCAACTGCAAGACTCTGCGCGGATTGTCTGCATGGCGCACTTAGGCCTAAAGGGCTTCCCGCAGCGCCTGCGCGGCCGAGTACACCGAGACGAGTGCGCATTGCGGGGTCCAGGAGGGGTCTACATGGCGTGCAAGGACGTCGACCGGTGGGCTACACAGCGGGTCAGGATGTGCGCCAGTGTGGTAATTTGAAGGGTTTGATGCAGCCTTGCGAGCATGTGCGACGGTTTGCGACAGTGGGCGAGAATAGAGGCGAAGGCGAAGGAGAGTTGAAGAAGTCGGTACCGAAGGATGGCCCGTTGAAGGAATATGAAGATCGCATTACGCAGGGCCGATTGCGGAGTGACCCGTATCAGAGACGTAGGTGCCAGAATTGGACTTTGGGTGACGAGTGTGGGCGACAGCTGACCCTTATGCGTATTTCAGATATCATTGAAAGCCTCCAGGCTCTTTTCGAGAACCTCAAGTCGTATACACCACCTAAAGTTAACCACCCCAGCGTCCAGTCGCTCGACCTTCAGCCCAAGAAATCATTTTTCGGTTCTCTGTTTGGTGGCGGTCAAAAATCCGATGAACCAACCATCCCCGAAGACCTCCCTAAGGGCTTGTATATGTTTGGTGATGTCGGATGTGGGAAGACCATGCTCATGGATCTATTTTTCGAAACGTTGCCGCCGAACATCGGAGCTAAGACGCGGATTCACTTCCACAACTTCATGCAGGATGTACACAGGCGCATGCATCAAGCAAAGATGAAGCACGGCAATGACATCGATGCATTGCCTTTGGTGGCTGCAGATATTGCTGAGGCATCCAGTGTGTTATGCTTTGATGAGTTTCAATGTACAGATGTTGCGGATGCCATGATTTTGAGAAGGCTTCTCGACTTTCTCATGTCTCATGGAGTTGTTCTTGTGACGACTTCCAACAGACATCCAGATGAACTTTACAAGAACGGCATCCAGCGCGAGTCATTCATTCCTTGCATCAAGCTCTTGAAGACAGCGCTGGGTGTGATCAATCTCAATTCGCCCACAGACTACCGTAAAATCCCCCGTCCACCATCCGGTGTTTACCACCATCCGCTTGGACCTGAGGCAGAACAACATGTGCAGAAATGGTTCGACTTCTTGGGTGATACGGTCAATGACCCTCCACACCCTGCGACGCAGGAGGTCTGGGGACGTAAGATTGAAGTTCCCCTGGCCAGTGGCCGCGCTGCGCAGTTTAAATTCCAGCAGCTGCTGGGAGGTGCCACCGGTGCGGCCGATTATATCGAATTAGTTCGAAATTACGATGCCTTTATCGTGACTGATGTCCCTGGGATGTCCATCAATGAACGTGATTTGGCACGGAGATTCATCACTTTCATTGATGCCGTTTATGAGGGCAGGGTAAGTTATCACTCATGAACCATGCAAGACGTTACATGCTGACTCGCGATAGGCCAAATTAGTGCTCACGACGGAGGTCCCTCTTTCTCACCTCTTTATCTCCGAATCCGAAGCCAAGAGTTCCACTGATGACGGCGAAGATCTCTCAGATGCAATGCGTATGATGATGGACGACCTGGGTCTCTCCGTGCAGGCTCTCAAGTCTACTTCGATCTTCAGCGGTGATGAGGAGCGGTTCGCTTTTGCTCGTGCGCTCTCCCGATTGGCAGAGATGGGCAGCAAGGAGTGGGTAGAGAGAGGACTAGGTGTTGGGATGTTTGTGGATGACAAACAGAGCGAGCACAAGATGTAGGTTCTCTTTCTTATCTATCATTTTTCTGTACATAAGGTCCCTGTGTATATACTATATAGACAGGCTAGACGGGGCCATAGACATTGCTAGAACACGCTGTATACCATTGCAATGTACTATGCAGCGATACTACGATACAAGAGTATTACTCTACACACTACTGCTGATCAATCGGTCTCTCATGATTTGCTCCAGCGGGTGTTCCAAATCGGGGAGGAAGTCGATGACGTCATTCATCCGAATCAAGAAACACAACGTCTCCCTGAAACGGCATCGCATTACTAACTTCCATCTGTCTCGACTCTCGTCCGAAAACGTCACTTCGTCACTGTCTGCAATGCGGACCGTTCCTGTTCCTTGTTTTTTCTTCCCCTCGCTCCCCACATACACTTCAGCTGGTCAAAAAGAACACTGATTACATATCGACTCTACGCCAATGGGCCATACCCCTGAGTCGGTCACTGGTCGAGAGCTGCAATGCTGATTAACGAATGCGTCTAAAGTGTGTCTGTCGAGTAACCCCGGATTTATTGGGATCGAATGGCGGATTAGAAACGTTACATCATTAGACAGGTTGACGTAAAGAAGGTCTCCGGCCTGTGAGAATTAGAAATGCGCTGGCTGAGAATAGTACTAATATGGGCCGGTGTTCGCTGAGTGTAGTGGTTTATGGTTTGTCTTGCCTGTTGACAACTTTTGTTGCTAGCTTTTGACGAATCTCTTTTCTATACCCCTGTTAGACTTGTTATCGGTATTTCACCATGACATCGGCAGACACCAAGGTCGCTGACCTCCAAAAGAATACGGTCGAGATAGACAACAAGAAGCATATGACTACCGACTATGGGATCAAGATCTCGAACACGGATAACTGGCTGCGCGTAGCCGATGAGAATCACAGTGGCCCCTCGTTGCTAGAGGATCAGATTGCTCGGGAAAAGGTTGGTTCCCGAAACACTTGCTAAATTTTCAAGAATAGCTACTAATTGGCAATAGATTATGCGCTTCGACCATGAGCGTATTCCAGAGCGTGTTGTCCATGCCCGTGGTACAGGGGCCTTTGGTACATTTAGACTCCACAAGAGCGCGAAAGATTACACCACAGCAGGTGTCTTGACAGACACTTCCCGGGAGACCCCATTATTCCTGCGCTTCTCGACTGTACAGGGAAGCAAGGGCAGTGCAGACACCGTTCGGGATGTCCGTGGTTTCGCATTGAAGATGTATACACCCGAGGGTAATTGGGATATCGTTGGGAACAACATTCCAGTTTTCTTCATCCAAGATGCTATGAAATTCCCGGACGTTGTCCATTCCGTGAAGCCGGAACCGCATAATGAAATTCCCCAGGGGCAGAGTGCACATAACAACTTCTGGGATTTTGCCTATATGCATACAGAAACTTCGCACATGCAACAATGGGTATGTGATATTACTCTAGAGAACGAGGTGCAAGTACTGACGAAACACTACTAGATCATGTCTGACAGAGCAATTCCTCGCTCGTACCGGATGATGCAAGGATTCGGTGTCAATACCTTTTCCTTGGTTAATTCCGAGGGCAAGCGTCACTTTGTGAAGTTTATCTTCACCCCTGAGCTTGGAGTTCACTCCTTGGTATGGGATGAAGCTTTGAAGATCGCTGGTCAGGACCCGGATTTCCACCGCAAGGACCTTATGGATGCCATTGATGCCGGCCAGTTCCCCAAATGGAAGTTTGGAATGCAGATTATTCCCGAAGAAAAGCAAGATGACTTCGAATTCGACATTTTGGACGCGACCAAGATCTGGCCTGAGGATCTGGTGCCCATCGAGTACTTTGGTGAACTTGAACTCAACCGAAATGTCGATGAATTCTTCCCTCAGACTGAGCAGGTTGCGTTCTGCACCAGCCACGTCGTACCTGGCATTGATTTCTCCGACGATCCTCTGCTTCAGGGCCGGAATTTCTCGTACTTTGACACGCAGATCTCCCGCTTAGGCCCTAATTGGCAAGAGTTACCGATCAATCGACCAGTATGTCCATATCTGAGCCTTGTTAACCGTGATGGAGCCATGAAACACCGCATCACCAAGGGCAAGGTCAACTACTGGCCCAACCGCTTCGAAGCCAATCCTCCCGCGCCAGAATCCGAGGGCGGTTTTACTTCGTACCCTGAGAAGATACAGGGCAAGAAAGCTCGCATGCTTTCTCACAAGTTCAAGGAGCACTACAACCAAGCGCAACTGTACTACAATTCTCTCTCTGATATCGAGAAAACTCACTCGGCCAAGGCATTCTCGTTCGAGCTGGACCACTGCGATGATCCTACGGTCTACAAGCGCATGTCGGAGCGTCTGACTTACATCGATCTTGACTTAGCACAGACCGTTGCGAAGAATGTAGGCGGTGATAAGCCCACCAAAGCTCCCAAAGAGAACAAGGGTCAGAAGGCAAAGGGCCTGAGTCAGCTGGAATACCTCCCGGAAACCCCGACCATTGCAACCCGTCGTATCGCCGTCCTGTTAGCCGACGGTTTCGACTACACCGCCTACACGGCCATTAAGAAGGTCCTCCAGAAACAAAACGCTTTTGTCTTTACCATTGGTGCACAGCGCCAGGGTGTCCAGGCCGAATCTGGCGAGACTGTCATTCCCGACCATCACTTCTCAGGCATGCGGTCGACCCTTTTCGATGCTGTCTTCCTTCCTGGCGGCAAACATATCGAGGCGCTTCGCAAGAACGGAGTGGCCAAGCACTGGATCACAGAATCGTTTGCGCATCTGAAGGCGATTGCCGGCTTGAACGAGGCCGTCGATCTCATCGCGAAGCGGATTGACTTAGATGCTGTCAAATTTGCTGCTGCATCGAAGGGTAATGTGACAGAAAGTTATGGTGTGGTTACTGGTCACGGAAGCCCCGGTGACTTGCTCAAGGTATCGGATGTGTCCAAGGACTCGAAGGGTCTTGCAGAGCAATTCATCTGGAATATTTCGAGACACCGTAACTGGGAGAGAGAGTTGGATGGATTAAGTGATGAGATAGCTGCTTAATTTAGTTCAGAGATACCTATATATATTTTTAGTCTGTAATCTATGCATAATGATATATTATTGAATCTAAGTCCAATGCCGTTGTCCGTCTCCAAAGGTTTTGAAATCCCGTGCAAGTGCTACCGATGTGCTACACATACTGCTACCGGCCGAATGACCAGCAATGTGTCCCCAGCAGCAATAGCTCTCGAAACGGCGCATGATTCTAATGGAAGCATCCTCCAAAGCTAACTGCATACAGGGGCTCATTGCACAACCATGACCAAAGAGAAAAATGACCGATACGCAGACAAGCAGCAATATAGCTCATGATATCAACCCATACCTGACAGGCCGTGTCAAACAGGAATCCCAAACATGCTGCTACACATGGTAGCCAGTGCCTCATGCAAATTGATACTCCGGATCAACAAAGCGTTGCCGGAGGGAATCACATCACCTACATTCTCGAGCAGCGGCATTGCATTGCCAGTAATGCAAGCTGCATACCACAGAGCTAGCGTGTTACACGGCAGACGCAAAAAAAATAGCCGGAGATGCGCATTTGTGCATTGACAACGACAGCAAAAGGCCAAGCTCAAGTTGGAAAAGGAGAAATTAGAAATGACTCTTCAGCTATCTTGCCTAGAAGGGAGCTAAGCTAAGTTTCTGGCAGGTATTTTGTTTCGTCACTGGAAGAGGGCGTCTCTTCCTACTTCCCCTCTTCTTCTCCCTTGGAAAATCGTACGATATAGGAGGACTACGTCTGGATTTGGATCTGTTTCCCCTGTGCACGTAACTTCGTTTCAAGTTGGAATCAATCGGATATGGCAATACGGATATCGCGTTCTCAGCGCTTAACGGCTGTGATTGGGATCGCCTCTATTTTCTTTCTTGCTGAGATTTCCGGTATGCCATGTCTTTGCTGCTTTTGTTTTCCTTGGGAATGAGCTGGTTTGGGGAAATCAGAGGCTATTTCCCTCGATTTCCGAGACATTGGATAAAATGAACATTTCATTGGCTGATTTGCTGACTTCCTTTCTCGTTTATTTCAGTTGGCTTCTATACGCATTCCCTAGCTCTCGTGGCAGATGCGTTTCACTATGTATGTTTCAGCCTAGACGCGTCGAAGATTTTGCGATGTGTGATTGATAACTGACTTCATTGTCAGTTGAATGACCTGGTGGGGTTTATTGTTGCGTTGGTTGCTGTCAAGGTACACATCCGCTATACAAAGCTCAATATTGATCCTATAGACATAGGAAGGCTGACTGAATTCAATATCAGGTCTCCGAATGGGATGATCCGCCCAAATCCCTAACCTTCGGATGGCAACGGTCCCAGTTACTGGGTGCATTTTTCAATGGTGCCCTTCTCTTTGCGCTGGGAATTAGCATTTTCCTGCAGTCGATTGAGCGGTTTGTGTCACTTCAACGTTAGTTTTGAGATACGTGAATACGGAGTGATTTGGAAGCTTACGTTGGTAATAGGCGTGGAGAATCCGAAGTTGATATTTATCATGGGATGTGTCGGGTTTGGATTGAATATCCTCAGTGTATTGTTTTTGCATGGTATGTGATCATGGTCCTCGGTGGTTGGAAGAGGGACTAATTCGATACGTAGAACATCATGACCATCATAACCACGATCACAGTCATGGTCACGGCCACAGTCACAGCCATGATCATGAGCATGGACGTGCCCATAATCCCCAGATGCTCGAAGATAGCACTAGTATTGCAGAATCTGAATTCCGGGATATTGCTTGCAAGGCACGTCCAATTATCCCAATTCTCACTACCAATGCTAACCGGACCAGCATCATGGACATAAGCACCAATCCGAAGAAAAGACAGCCTCCAGTGGCCGCGATCTGGGAATGATGGGAGTGCTGCTACATGTCATGGGAGACGCTGCCAACAACTTGGGAGTCATGGCAGCGGCCTTGGTTATATGGCTCACGCATTATGAGGGTAGATATTATGCGGATCCGGGGACTAGTATGGGCATTGGTGTCATGATTATCTTGACGTCGCTTCCTTTGAGTATGATCCTCGTTTATGTATTTGATGGGCGGTTGCTTACCATGAACAGTGCGCCACTCCGGTCACATCTTACTGGAGAGCCTCCCTAACGGACTCAGCGTAGACAATGTGAAGCATGACCTGGAATTGGTAGCCAACACGTCCCCTATTAGGCCCGTTGTCAAACACAAACTAACAATCACCACAGATCCCTGGTGTCCTAGCCATCCACGAGCTGCATATCTGGCGACTCAATCAACAAAAAGTCCTAGCATCCGTCCACGTTGTTGTCTCAGAGCACACAATGCCCGAATTCCTGAAAATAGCGAAAACCATGAACGAATGTTTTCACGAATACGGGATCCATTCGGTGACGCTGCAGCCCGAGATTACGCCGCATATCCCTGTGAAGGAGGATCAGGAGTCTGAAGAGATGCGGAGGATATTTTTGGAGAAATGCCAGGTTGTATGTAGTCGGGTTTGTGAAGATTTGACTTGTTGTGGATAGAGGGTGGTCGTTGATATGTGATGGTGATTTCAGACCTCGGTTTCGATTGATAGAACGATATCAAACAATGTTCGTGTTCGCATCTGTATCCGCGAAGACGTTCTTTTCTTTATTTTTTGTGTTTTTCAGTTCATACTTCTAATGAGCCCCAATATTAATTGTCTTTCCGACAATCCGAGATACGGAATTGATTCCGATAAAAGTAGGATCCCTAAATCTGAAGGGCCCATCCGAATTTTGGCATGATACCTATGCACGCAGCCAACGAGCGATTGCACTGATTAGTTATTGAACCACAAACATAGATCGTTGCAGATAAGGAATGGCGCCGACATCCACTCGGGTGCTTCGTTCATGGATGCGCGGGGCTTTGGAAGATGAGGGGAAATCCCATATGCATGTGTTTATCGGATCCACGGGGTTTAAGGGGAACATGAGTACTATATATAACGTGCTTGTAAGTTTTTCCTGATCTCTTTCTTTCTTCCTTTTTGTTTTGGTGATACAATCCATTAAACACCAAATTTTTTATGACCAATTAACTATACTATGACAATGTCTCAGCCCCAACCCTGGGAACTCCAAGCCCGCAAAGCCAAAAACATTCTCGAAAACTCAATCCCCAGACAATGGCTTCTCCCAGATGACAAACTTCCACCTGCCGATGAAAAGAGCGTGATGGACTTCCCGCGTAAAAGCGGGTTGCTGACTGAACGAGAACTCGACATCACCGAGTTGTCTGCTACGGCGCTTGTAGAGGAGATGGGAGCCGACAAATTGAGTGCTGAAGAGGTTGTCGTTGCGTTTTTGAAGAGGTCTGTTTTGGGGCATAATTTGGTATGTGCTCTTGAGTCTGTAGATAAAGGATGCCTGCTGACGTTGTGTAGTTCAATTTTGCAACGGAGTTTATGGCGGATAAGGCTATCGCGCGAGCTAAAGAGCTTGATGAATATTATCGAAAGACAGGGGAGTTAGTCGGACCGTTGGTGAGTAGATACGCAGATGTGTACTGATTGATAGGACTAATGATGTAGCATGGCGTCCCAATCAGCGTCAAGGAGCATGTTGGCATCCAAGGTCTAACCTGCAATGCAGGCTTTGTGGCATGGTATGGTTATAGTCTATGGCACGAATATTTCAGCTAACAGAATCCAGGGTCGACCAAATAGCAACCGAAGATGCTTTACTCCTCCAATGTCTAAAGAAAGCCGGCGCCGTTTTTCACGTCCGCACGAACCAACCCCAATCCCTTATGGTACTCCAACCAACCCCCTCAGTCATGGCCAAAGCTAACAAGAAAAGCACCTCGACTGCAGCAACAATCTCACCGGCACGACTCTCAACCCCCACAACCGAACCCTCAGCCCTGGAGGTTCATCAGGCGGCGAAGGCGCCTCCACAGGCTTCAAATGCGCGCCTCTAGGCATCGGATCGGATATCGGAGGCTCCATTCGTGCACCCGCTGCCTTTTGCGGTTCGTACGGATTGAAAACGACGGCATTGAGAAACCCTTTGGGCGGGGTTAGAGCCGCTGGGGGCGGGCAAGAGTCGATAAGAGGTGTACTTGGGCCTTTGGCAAGTCAGAGTATTGAGGATTTAGAGTTGTTTCAACAGGTTATTCTTGACCAGGAGCCGTGGGATACTGAGACGAGCTTGATTCCGATGCCTTGGAGAAGGATTAGGCCGACGAGAGATATTACTGTTGGTATTATGTGGGATGATGGGTATGTTTGCTCTCTATGTAAGGCTTTGGTGAAGTATATCACTGACCTGTCGATTAGAACCGTTTGTCCTCATCCACCAATTATCAGAGCACTTCAATTTGCAAAAGAAAAGCTCATTGCAGCCGGTATCAAAGTCGTCGACTGGGAACCCTACAAACACGACCACGGCTGGGACATAGTGGTGCGCATTATATCAAAGTCCCAAAACACAGCAACAAGCTAATAGAGCCAAAACAGTCTGCCATGTACTTTGCCGATGGCACAGAATCCCAACAGGCCATCCTCAAGGAATCCGGCGAACCCTACCGCCCCCTAACCAAGTGGGCTTTCCAATACTCCTCCGGAACCCCCCTCACCGTCTCAGAGAACTGGGCCCTAAACAACGCCCGCGACCGCTACCGCGACGAGTACCACGCGCTCATGAAATCCCATGGTGTAGACTTTATTCTCACTCCGACGTATCTGGGAGTTGCGGCTGTGCTTGGCGAGCCGCAGTACTGGAACTACACGGCTATCTGGAATATACTCGATCTGCCAGCTGTTGTGTTTCCGAGTGGACTTGTGGTTGATGAAGAGCTGGATAAAGCAGAGGAGGGGTACCAGCCGAGAAATGTCGTTGATGAGAGGGAGTGGAAGAAGTATAGTCCTGAGCGATATGTTGGAGCGCCGATTGCGTTGCAGTTGGTTGGGAAGAGGTTTAAGGATGAGGAGGTTTTGGCGGCTGCTAAGGTGGTTAAAGGTGTTTTAAATGCTGATGCTAGTAGGAAGATGAACTAGGGTTTTAGTATTCACTGGTTATCAAGCTCTGAGGAGGGTTATTACTATTCACTCCAGACCTATTCCTAGTCATTGTATTAGTATCCGTATTCGTCTTGATCCTTTCCACTTTCTTCTTTCGGACATATATGCTTGCAGTATCAGTTCCGGCTGGTTGACATCTACATAAATTGCTTGCCAGAGACCAACAACATATGCTGACAGCTGCTATCCAAAAGAGAACTACCAGGTTCTATATGGGAACTCTACAGCTGTGATTCCCAACTCGGGAATAAACAGGTATGAGATCTATTTTGATATTCTCTCGAGCTCGATTGGAAGCAAGACCAGATCCTAATCTGCTTGTTATAAGAGCCACTGGACTCGGCATGGAGTATTATGTACGTGCGTAAAACACGATTCTTTCTTCATTGTATTGGTATTGGCTAACTGATATCTTACTATACTACATATGAAACAGGCCGATGAGCCAAATGGCATCAGGGACTGTTGTAGTTGCCTGGAAGGGAGCAGAGCAGGCTGCTCCATATCATGCAGGGTTTGGTAAATACTTGCTTTGAACGAATCGTAATGACCACCAAATTCATATCAGGTAACCCAGTCAATCATGCAATGAGGTCTTATTCCTGACAATATATAGAAGTGGGAATGGCTCCGGTGACATGTGACTATTGTGATAGACATCGCACAGGTGAAAGCCGGAACTTATGAGACGGCTCGTTGGAAAATGAGACCATAAAACATTTGGTAGTTGTGAACGTGAAAGGCAAGTAGTTGTCCAACAAGACAGACACATTGTATGGCTAGTTGCATTTCGAAAAGCACTAGATATGGTGACAGGAAGAAACTCTACACAGGTTCACACAATTCTGACATTCTTATTCGGCCTTGATAATTGCAGTGCTTTGATTGGCAATCATAACGGATTACTTTACACAACTTGCACAAAATATCTCTTGTCAGAGCATAAATTTCTCTCGGATATCAAACTTTCAACCAGGTCATGTCTGCTCTGTGGCATTACTATGCCGGCTTTCATGGATTGGGGCCGGTTGAAGTTCTTGCCTCGCGACGCGTAGAAGATACCCATATATTGATGGATGCCACGGGTGTCAATCCAGTTGCCAGACCTAGTGACCTCATCCTTTGCGAGGCCTGCCTTTATTGGGTAAGTTTTTTGTGAATGCAATATAGCAATGACAACAAAACAGCTGTTCTGACAAGCGGTGACCCTAAGCCCTTCATTCCAGAATCGATCACCAGCGAGACTTATTGTTGTGGAGAATGAAGACCGTACATTCGAACGGCGACATGCTGTCTGAGAGGAGGCAGAGGAGCGGACATTTAATGAGCTTCATTGCAGCATGTGGAGAGTACCCTCAAGCTGCCACCACCCTATATGCTATCCTCAACGTTGACCGTTGTTCCAAATCCCTCGACTTACAACTGGGCGTCAACTAACTCTCGTATTTTGCTTCTAGCTTACTACTATACGTGCAACTCGTTGGGCTTCTGGACTTCTCGAGTCTTCACGGCTTGCTCAAACGAATATTGACGAAGATTGAGACAACTTAAAGCCCGATGCGTCATTCAAAGTAACGACAAGCCAAATGAGCTTGAATAATGTTGAAGAAGATCTCAAAATAAAGAGATCAACAATCCATGATAGAAGATGGCACCAAGCTGTTTATCATATCCAAAAGGATCCGATCATGGGTAAGCTTCTTCTAACATTATGCTTCTCTAGTACTATAGCAATCTTCAGAAGCTTGACAAAATTGAATTCCAGGTTACGTCGCGAAAGGGTGTTGAACAGGTGGTGGCCTTCACGATAACCTTGGTACCGATACATTACTTAGAGGCTACCTCAACAAAAAGTTTACCAGTCATTCACTCTAGCCGTGCGGCCTTGTCAATCGCAAGGGCTTTGCTTAATAATATCCTCTTAATATTTGGGTTGAGCTCACCCGATGTTGATTGCATTGCCCTAATACACATCTATCGAATACAGCGTTTATCAAGATGGTCGCAAATCTGTGTGTTTGTTTATAAATGGACTAGGATAGTACTGGAAGGACCGATATACTTAGCATAATGTACGACTGAACTGAGTAAATTTCTGACAAGATATTAGATACATCTGATCATTGCATATTATTGTTCTTCGAAATGTAATAACTTATTGCAAAATAGACATGATAGACAGGATAAAAGGATAAAAGCAAAAACTCATACAATACGCCTAGGGGTATATTCCAACAGACCAGAAAGAAAGGACGAAAGAAATGAATCGAAAAGAGATAGAGATCGACCAACGCAAGCTCGAACAAATATGGGATATCAAGAAAAGATGGCGCAGAGCATAAATTGAACATAATATCGATTCAAAGATCAATGAAGGGAAAGGAAACGCAAAGAGAAGGAGGGATTTACTCCCGACGTGCATATACATCAGCCTGTCCATCGTGACCAACATTAACATAAGACCCGTCTCCACTCGACTCATCCGAAACCGCATGGCTAAATCCAGTAGACGGCCGAGATCCAAGCGGCGTCGGGTTTCCGGATGCAGAAGCGAACGGGATCGCGTCACTTGACGTGAACGTAGGAAGTCCGTGCTTAGACTGCGTGACCGATGCAGTGGGCGAAAACAGCGACTGCTGCTGCGGGTGAAAGGTATCCTGTGTCGTGGCTGTGGATGCAGATGCGGGGGTGAGAGGGGGGGTATTGGTTGTTGTTGTGCTTGCAGCGAATGAGGGCTGCGCGGAGGCCTTTCGCGAGCCTGGTCTACCGATTGTGACGGTGCTGGGGATTGAAGCCATGTCGGGCGAGGGCTCTCTAGCTTCTTGTTTTGTTTCGAGTGGAGGTGCTGTAGAAGGGGGTGCTGATGCGGAGAAAGCAGGGTTTTTGGTAGTGGATGATTTGAGAACGCTGCTGGACCTCTGATATCTCGAAGTCTTGGCTGCCTTTTTGCGTTCCTCTGCTGCTTTCTTCTCTCGCGCGGCGTTTTCCTCTGGAGAGGGGACCTTGAGCTTTATATTGAGTTTCCGCACGCCGGCCATGAGACTGTCCATGTCATCGGGTCGAGTGTTTTCCGTGCCTGTTGGGGGTGGAGCTTCGCTCGACGCTGTATGAAGTATACCAGACGGAACCCGTGGCACGGGAGGAACATTTTGGGGAGGACTTGCAGAACGTTTCGGGGTAGTTCCACGGCTGGTACTGGTCCTTCGAGAAGTTGTCGACCGGTTGCTTGCTGCGGTGCCAGGGCGTGATGGAGGTGCTGTCGCACGCGATGGCGATCTCCCATCTTCGGGATTTTCCGTAGCTGCGGCGGAGCTTTTCCTGCGGTTCATGCGAGTGGCTGGCGAATTGTCTAGCGATGAAGTCAAGTCACTGCCTGCGTCGATGGTGGTCCGTCGAGTCCCCTTGACTGCCTGGCGTTTTGGTGTAGATTCAGCCTTGGGTGTACCTGGTAGAGACTGCTTGGGCTTTCTCACACGAAGCTGCATGCGACTAGCTTCACGCGCAACTGGCTCAGCCGGAGCAGCCGGAGCAGCCGGAGCTATGGGAATGCCCTCCGCAGCTGCTTGACGTTCCCGACGTACGCGCGACGCTTCAGCATTGAGGTCCTCTGGTCGACAACTCATTGTTTGCCGATCACTCGGGATCAGAATCTTAGATAGCTCGTGCGTTGCAGTGGCCCAGCCAACTTCAGGTAGTGGGGGTAACTCTGGCTCATAAGTGACATAGCCGCCGGCTGACATTCGGTCCCGTGCTGATGGCACAACTTTGGCGGTAAACGATTGCGTCGAAGCAAGATATGTCGGGATTTTCCCGTTACTTTTCACAGCCGGGGCAGGGTAGACCCAGGCTTCCAACTCTTCGAGCACGGGTGATGACCACCAGGTTGGATCGTAAGAGCTTCCCTGTGTCCTTTGAGCATTGGTCTCCGACTCCTGAAGTACGTTTTGCAGACCCAAGTCAGTCATTTCAGACGCGAGATGATCAATCTGTTGTTCTTCTGTCACACTAGCCGTCGTATCACTCAAACCTGAAAGGTGGCTAAGAACTCCACTTGTCAAAGCCCGATCGCTGTAGCCTCCCTCTAGCACACTGATGATACGACCGTCAGTTCCCAGCCCTTCTTCCTCAGCCATGCGGGCGACGTCTGCCGTAAACTTGGCGTAGAACTCGGTAGGGACGTTCGCCTTGTGCCGTTGCATACCAGCGCCCTCCCACTCACTGGCATCGAAGCCAGCAGAAAGAAAAATAGCAGCCTTAGGTTTAGGTCCATTAGATGTGCTAGCAAGGCGCTCCGTGTGCAGTCGCAGGAAAGCACGGGCCTTCTCTATGAGAATAGCGTACTTGGTCGCATACAACTCCCAGAACTCCGACTCGTTTTTCCAGGAATCTAGATGGACGTTCCAGATCGACTGACCGTGTGCTTTGTCGATACACACGCTTGCATTGCGCACTTTCTCAAAGTCGCCCATCTCGCACGGGTATGAATTGATATCGTGCAGACTAAAATAGCCGATTCTTGTCTTCTTGTAGAGCGCTGCATTCTTGGGTGCAGTTGCGGCCCGACTGTTCTGCGCCCATGTGATTTCCTGCGAGCCATCACCGTGATGCAGGTCAAAGTCCAGAATAGCCGCGTGGGTCAACCCATGCGACATAGCAGCGTATGAGATACCAACGTGGACATTATTAATCCAGCAAAATCCAGACGGATGACCGGACGAACAATGGTGGCCAGGCGGACGGATACAGACAAACGCCCGCTTCGTAGACGAGGGGCCAAGGACAGCATCCACGCCCTCACATACCCCACCTAAGGCACCTTCAAAAGCATTCAAAGATTCAGAGCACAAATACAAATCCCCCTGGTGGAATTCAGGCGCATGGTCATCCTTCCCAGCGCTACGCGGACGAACCAATTCCTTCCCGTTCAACGCAAGTCGCGACTCAGCCGCATCGCACATGGTCTTGAGATCATCCATCCATTTGCTTCCATGCACGTGCGCAACAGCGGGGGAAGTAAGCGCCAACGATCGCGCCGTCTTGCGGATCTGAAACGGAGGCGCAGGCAAGGCGTGAGGGTCCAGACTAGGGTGAGGCGCGTAGCGCTCACCGGCATGTCTACGGGCCAGACGGACGTAAGCAGCAGACACTCCCAAGACACCAGCACGAATACGTTCTGGCCTCTCGACGATCGAGCCTAGGGTAGCGCGAGAGCTTTTGGGTCGCGCGAAACGATGACCGTAGCACGCATCGTGGACCACGACAAGAGTCTTGGATTGTAGATCGGCAGACTGGTGCCAGTCGATATCTCTTTGGAAATGTTCTGCAGCGATCATCGCAGCAGTAGGAATTATTTCCTGCACGGGACTTTTCTTGGGCATCATGTTGTTTGCTGCGGTGGGGGAGGTCGCGAAGTTAGAGGAGGAGCGTCGCGACAGAGTACCGGTGGATGAGCCAGCGCTGTTGCGAACTGATCGCAACGATGCGGTTGAAGAACGTTTCTGCAAACTAGGTGTTGACCTGCGACTTTCGTCTCTCAGCGATCCAGAGCTTGGGATACGTCTAGGGGCCGTCTGGTTATGGTGATTATCTCTGGAGACTGAACGCGGGGTGGCATCGGAGGGAGAAAGCAAGGATGACGATGACAGGGCAGGTGATACGGGCGCAGGAGCAACAGAAGCTGAAGCCAGCGACTGAGGATTCAGACTCAAATGATGCGACGGAGTAGCCTTGGAGGAGGCGAATGGGACTGGGGGGAGGTCATCACGGTTGGAGGGGTCCATGGTGAGAACATGGGGATCAGAGTCAGAATGGAAGAGGATGGAACTGATCAGACAATGAGACAGACAAAGAGCAGCACAGTGAATGAATACAAATACGCTATAAACAGTTCTTGAGGGGTGAGGCTGAAGAGGTAGAAGAATGGAGGGAGTTGTAGAGGCTCAAGTTTAGGATCTCCAATACGGGGCAAGGGGGGGTCGATCTTGCATTCCACGCCCACATGAAGAACCACTACTACATAGTGCTACTACATCTAGAACATCTGCAAATGTGATGCCTCAAATATATGGTTTTTTTAAATTGATTTTTGCCTGTCATATGCAGGTGCTATATACAAACGAACCAGAATGAGTGATATCGGGCAATTAATCCCCTTTTACTTCAAAAAAAAACCCCAGTGAGTGAAGAAATAAAGACTTTTCAAGCCTGAGAATGATACCAATTCCTCCAGATGACATGAAGATAAAGAAATATGACCTGCCTCCAATCCATCTAGATAACGCCAGTTATCCCAGAAAAGATTCAATCACTCCACCAACGCCAATGCCGGATTCAAAGGAGAGAAAACGGCCAATGCTAGAGGAAAAAAAGGAAACGAAGAAACGAGAAACAAAAAACAAAAAACAAAAAACGAAATGAAACGAATGTCGACGAACGAATGTCAAGATCACAGTATGGAAAAGGAAACGAAAGGAGGACTGAAAAGGACTAGATCGAATTTCGCGATCGCAAACTGGTCCATGAAAACCACCTCTTCGGAGTAAGAGACTTTTCACTCAGAGTTGAACGCCGCTTTTGAGTCTTCTTCAACTTCTGGTTATGCTTTTTCAGCAATTTATGCTCCGTCTTCCAGCCCTTTGAGGCATGCCAATGGCAGAAGCAGTGCATGCGAACGGCTTCAATGGATACGCCGGGGCATTCGTGTTCTTTGTGGGGGGCGCAGATGAGGTTGCCGGCGTTTTCTTCACACCGGCACCATTCGTATACGGTGAGGTATTGTTGGCACATACTGGCGGTTGAGTTTGTAGGTGAGGATATGAGAGGATCGGATAGGATTTGGAGGATCCGCGCGGTTCCGGATGCTTTTTTTGTGTTCGGGTTGTTTAACAGTAGGAATTGTCAATCAAGTATGTCGAGCAGAGTATTTCGATACCGTCGGAGTAATTCAACGATGTATATCCATGGATGTTGGGGAAGGTCCAACTGGGATCTGGGCCATGCTCTGGGGGTCTACCGCATGGCCAGTTAGCCTTGACAGCAGCACAGAAGAGCAGTGGTGGTGAATGCTCTGTACAAAGCAACAGAGCACAAAGAATACAGAATAGATTAGACAGGAAGGGGGGAAAAGACAACCTGTCAGAGCACGGAAGAATAGGGAGAAAAAAAGAGAAAAATTAGAAGGTAACAAAACAGGGAAAGGGAGATGATGGAGGGGAACTAAGAATAAGTGTGAGAATAATTATACAAATAGTCAGGAGTTGATCAGTTGACGTCAACTATCCACTACACTTTTATATAGTATAAGTGCAAGTAGTATTAGTAGTGAATCATCTATTCTCTCACTCTTTTTTCTCTCTCTAAACGCCTTTTCGGTAGCGACAACAAAGACGACTGGTTCGGATGGAGCGATTATGACATCAATGAATCCTTCGGCGTATCGCTTCCCGTCTGGGTACGCTACCCACTCTATAAAGAAATCACGAATTGAAAGTGTCTTATATGATCAATATGATCCCTCTCAAGACCCCCAAGGCTATATAGTAAGTATGAGATTCATAGAGATCATATACAGGGTACTCTGCATATAGTACAGCTACAGGCAGCATCCCCTCTCCTATTACAAATGAGCATGGACATCCGGAGCTCCCGGTGGAAAGCTTCCCGCGTCATCGGCAAACTATTTACGTAGTACTAGTTTTTTGGTCTTTGTACTATGATATGTAGCAAGATATCATAATAAATACGAATAATTGCACAGGATCCTGTACTTGTATATCTTAATGTTTTCTTATTTTCTTTTTCTGATAAGTCCAGTGCACTCCTCCTGTTCCCCAGATACGCCCTAACCTATTCGGGATAGCGGGGTCACTCCCTGCCAGAACCGGATATTCATACCGCCGATCTCCCGGATTCACGTGAATTCCACGAGATAATCGCCTAACCCGATCTGGCTAGTCGCCTCAGGTGTCAGCAATCTACTTTTCCGACCATACAAAAGTCCACCACCGAATTTCTCGTTCTTCAATCGCAATTCAACGATAAAATAACGAACAACAGAAAAAAAACAGGGAAATGACAGAACCCTCACCAAAAATGATAACTCCCGCCTCCTCCACCCGCACAGCAACCCTCCTCACCAACCTCTCCGCCGTGACCTCCCGCATCTCTGCCGCTGCCGCGTCAACATCCACATCATCCGCATCCACCACACTGCCAGCAAAGACAACAAACCAGCCTCAACCCCGCCTCATCGCCGTCTCCAAACTCAAACCTGCTTCCGACATTTTAGCCCTCCACTCCCCCCCAACCTCCCATCTCCACTTTGGCGAAAACTACCTCCAAGAACTCCTCGAAAAGTCTCGCCTCCTGCCACCCACTATCCGGTGGCATTTCATCGGCGGCTTGCAGTCGAATAAATGTGTGCTGTTGGCGAGGGAAGTGAGAGGGCTATGGGCGGTTGAGAGTGTAGATTCGGAGAAGAAAGCTTCGTTGCTGGATAAGGGTTGGGGAGAGAGGAAATACGTAGGTGAGGATGAGGATGAGAAGGAGAGGAAGTTGAGGGTGTTTGTGCAGGTGAATACCTCCGGGGAGGAAAACAAGGCGGGTATTGAGCCAGATGCTGCGCCGGGATTGTGTCGGTTTATCAAGGATAAGTGTTCGCGATTGCAATTGCAGGGTGTTATGACTATTGGGGCGATTGCGCGGTCCAAGGCTACGACGCCGGAGAATGAAAATGAGGATTTTATCTGTCTACGCGAGACAAGGGATAATATTGTCAAGGAGTTGGGATTGGAGGAGTTGGAGCTGAGTATGGGTATGAGCGAGGACTTTGAAGGGGCTATTGCATTGGGTAGTGATGAGGTTCGCGTTGGGACGACTATCTTCGGGGATAGGCCGCCCAAGTCTGAGGCTAGGGTTGTTTGAGGTGGTTGGATTATGAATTACGAAGCATGAGTTGCATCTTTACTGTACAACACCATATACTTACGGCAATGCAAAAGCATCCTCGATATATCCTTATCCTTGTGTGAAAATCTATTAATGACAATAATGAATAAATACACCAACCATCTCACTCAAAACAGGGGAATCAAACGAAGACAATGCATGGTTACATTTGAATAAATGCGGTATGGTATATGGCAGAAACAGCAAACCGCCATTACAATTATAATTATCGAATTGAATATTATGCAAAACGTAGAACAAACCAGGGCCAGAAGTCTATGCACCGTCCTTGGTGCCCTGCGACAATTTCTGCTCGATCTGTTTGACCAGTGATTGCGGTACACCTTCTTGCGTCGCGCGGATGGTAATCCGGTACATCTGCGCATGTTAGCTTCTGCATTTGTAAATGAAAAGGGTGGGGGAGAGGCTTACATTGCGCTCATAATTCGGCTCCAACCGTAACAAACATCCGGTCTTCCCACCTGCAAACTGATAAACTCCACAACCAACGATATTCTTCGGATTCGGATCCACGCTATCTAGAATCCGCAACCGGAAGCCCTCGACAACTCTCCTCGTAAATGCCTCCGTAATGCTTTTCCCCTTCACTGTGACTCCAAACGTTTGCTGCGACTCCAGCGGTCCTCCGCCAATCTGCCTCCAGCGCTTGAAGAATTCTTCAGCGGAAAGGGTGGACGGCTCCATGTACTTGTGCATCTGAATCGGGAGCTGCAGGGTGTATGCTTGCAGGGCACCGGCCAGGTATGAGATACGGATTGTTGGGGCGGCGGTGAAGGCGCCGTGGGCTTCGAAGAAGAAGGTTTGCTGTGTTTGGCCGGCGGCGGGGACATGTGGTTCGGGGAGGTTCTTGGAGTCGATCTTCAATTGCGGTGATGATGGGTTATCCAGCGTTGTTGTCAGGGATCCGATGGGGTAGGATGACTTGTTGGTCAAGTAGATCTTCACCACGCCCATGTGGCCACGGAACTCGGACCGTAGACCAACTTGAATCTGGAGGTCTTCGAAAAGCACGCCCTCGTCAGAAAAGTAGCACCGGTTGTATCCAACTTCCCATTCGGGGGTGAGATGAGCCGCACTGGCAAGGTTCGGCGGTGGTGCGGCGGACGGACCGCTGAGATCCAATCCGGCCAGGTCACCGGCGCTCGACACGGGTGAGGCTGTACTGGCAGCGCCGCTGCTGCTGCCGTTGACGATTGTGGTGAAGGTGCGCTTGAGGCCTGTGTTCTGCGCCATGAGAACCTCCTTTTTGTCTGCGTTGGCGTCTTTGCCTCCAACGACCCAGGTCTTCCTCTCGGTTGTTCCAGCAGTCCTCTGGTGTAATCGCGACAAAAGGATAGATGCCCGGTCGGAGAAGGGTGGCATTTCATCGCAGACCGTTCGGAGGAGGTCATCCGTGGGAAGTGTCGCCAGCGACAGATATTCAAATGCTCGCTGCTGCAGCTCCGAGTCTGGAGAGTGACAGTACAACCGGAATAGGTGTAGAAGCTGAGGCTTAATCTCAGGGAAGAGGTTGACAAATTTAACGAAAGACGAAAGGATCATTGCCCGGGTGTTGTCGGTGCTGGTGATCATCTTGGCTTGCAAGGTAATGAATTGCTCAATGGGGCTGGAACCTTGATTTTCGGCAATCAGATGTCCAAACTCTCCCAGGACGTAGCAACCGATCTTGACCAAGCTCTCGTGGCAATCAGTCTTCAGGTAACTAAGCAATGTATGCGCAGCATAAGCCTGAATTTCCTCATTATTCGTCACGATCTGAATCACACGCTGCCAAACTTCGTCGTTGACATGGTCACCTGCCAGGGAGAGGAGCTTAAAAGTCATGTCGATGTACCACTGGGCGTCAGTAGCGTACTTCTCCGTGAGAATAGCTACCTTGAGCACCATCTCCTCCCGGATTGCATAGTCGGCCGTTTGCAGATACCGTAGGAGTTCGTTGACTATGGGGCCCGCATTGGTCGTATCGCACATACTATACAGCAGATCCAAACCTTTACGCCGGACACTGATATCTCGGTCCCGAAGCGAGCCCAGGATGATATTCTGGTGCTTCTTAATGGGGTCGAGTGTCTCTGCCCGGGCTGCAAAATGTACCATGGCCTCCAGTCCCAAGTATCGGACATTGGTCTCTCGCGATTGGATGTATTTGCCCAAGCGCGACGAGATTTGCATCATCAGATTGTGTTCAGTGTCCATGTGAATGAGCAAGTTGATTGCCTCAAACAGAATTGCGTTCTGGGCATTGTTCTGCTGAACGTTTTTCGGGGTGTCCATGGCGACATGCATAATCTGCTGCAAGGACTCTCGAATGATTTCCCGTACATGGCTATCCTCTACTCGAATTAGCAAGCTTCCTGACAGGAGGTGTAAAAGCGCATACCGGAAGGAGGATAATACTGCAGCAACCGGAGGAATTTGACCTGGATCCATGGACATGGAACACGGTAGTAAAGGTAATCCGGAGCAACATCGTTATCCACAACAACTTTCTTCAGTCGCTGCGCAGCCTTGACGTAGCATCCCCTGTATTCCTCTGGCTTATCCTGGGCCAATGCCAAGACCAGCGAGGTAACAGACAGAGTAACACCCATATCGGGGTCGTCCATTATGGAGATGATACGTTCGGCCCATTCGTTTTGCACAATGCCGGGGTATTTGCGGTAAAGTCGGAGAAGCGTGAGGGCGGCCTTCTTTTTGACAAATGCTTTCGACGTGCTGCGTCAATTAGCATACAGGCGCAAACAGCAGAAAATGGAGGGCACGCACGGAGAGATCAATAGTCGATGAACATCCATAGCCAAAGCCTCACCCATCTCTCTCCCACCGACATTAGCAACGGCGTGCAACGCCAAACAATTAAACAACTCATTATAATCCAGCAAATCTTTGCGAATACTATTCACAACCAAATGCAGCAACTCATGCTGCTCATGCAAAAACAGCGTAACAGCCAGATACCCAATCTGCTTCTCCGAGTACTTGGAACTCGAAATGAGATTCACAGCCTCAAGATGTCCGAAGTCCACATCATATCCCTGGATATAGACATATAGCAGCTTACAGACGTATTTCTTCTTCTGGTACCCGTTCAAACTGCCACCTTTAAACTTCTGACGAATGTTGGCCAATTCCTTGTTCACCCGTTTTTCCTCGAGTTCTCGCGCGCGTGCATTGCGCAGGTCCGCAATGAACTGGACTAATCCTCGCATGGATGCCATGGTGTTGCTGGAATTGACATGTATTTGTTTGTCGCACCGGTATGGTTATTTAGGGAATAGGGGCGTAGTAAACTATGTGTCGGCGGCGTTCTCTCACTTTTCGGGGTTTCCGGTTGTAGGACAACGGTTCTCAGGGCACGGCGTCATACAATCATTCCCAATTCGTTGCTTTTTTTCTTCTGTTTTTTAAATTCTCAGGGTTTATACCGTATCGATCATGGCGTGCGGTATGGTGAAGAAACCGCAATTCTGCAACGAAAGCTTGAGGGGATCAGATAAACGCGACAGGGGGTGGAGGTGGCTCAGGGTCGCGAGGTTCGGTGTCGTTTCAGTTCACCCACACAATCAAATATGGCTAAATAAGGTAGAATCAAGAGAGGTATGCCCAACTAAACAAGCATAAGACAAGCCAGATGCTCGTGTGTCCAATACGATGCTCAACCTCGCTGTCGCTTTCTGCCGATCCGCGCCGGCGTTCCGCTGTGGCGGTGCGGGAAGAACGTTGATGCGGTGGCGGTGCGTTACCCTTATTCTCCGCATCAATTCCATAGTATAGCTACCCCTGTACACCACACTTAGAAGATACTTATGCGAATGTTGAGATAAACAATGATGGCACAGCCCTACACTCACATCCTCGACTTCTGGTTCAGCCCCAAATCCTCCCCAACCTACCTCAAAGAGAAATCCTTCTGGTACGGCAGCCCATCCGACGACGCCCACGTCCGGCATCACCTTAACGCAGACTACGAATCCGCCCAATCCGGCTTCCTAGACGACTGGCAACATCATGGCGAGGGCGAGGGTGCACTAGCCTTAATTCTACTTCTCGACCAGGTCCCCCGGAATATCTTCCGAGGTTCACCGCGGGCGTATGCCACGGATAATAAAGCCGTGGCCGTGGCGCGGTATGCTGTGCTGGACCGTGGGTGGGATCGTAATTTGCCAACGATTCAGAGGAGGTATATGTACTCACCGTTCAATCATTCTGAGGATATTAGGGATCAGGAGGTGTCGGTGAGGTTATTCACGGAGTTGGGGGAGGGGCATCATTTACATTGGGCGAGGGGTTTTTACGAGCAGGTTAAACGGGATGGGAGGTTCAAGCATAGGGATGCGGTGTTGGGGAGAAAGTAATGGTAATAGTAGTGGTAGTAGTATTATTGATGTTTCATGGATCTAACCCATATCCGAACCTAACGCCTGAACCAGTATGCAAGTGTGGATTGTTTAAGCAGAGGACTTATTACTGCCCAAATGAGGTGAAATCGGTCTCAATGGCCGACTCGACCGCATCCACCTTCTCGCACGTACACGATGCCTCAGGTCTGGCTCCGCACGGGCAGCTCGAACCAGTAAACGACTGGTTTTCGCTGGTCGACCGTTCACAGGTACATTGGCCAACGGGGCGGGATCCTATGTCAGTTAGCACCTGGGAATTCAATATTTGAGGCCTCGAAGGCGGGGAGAACATACTGCATGAACATCTGGCACCGGAAATAACGTTCTCACTCGAAGCTTTGTTGCAGGAACAGTGAAGGGCGTTCTCCTTTCCGCAGGAGCACTTGGCCTGGGCAGCGCAGACACAGCCAGCGTCTCCGGAGGTTTTGCAACAGGTGGTGTTAGGGTGAACCATTTTGCCGTTGTTGTTTTGTTGTACTTGACGAGGTCTTGATGTATGACGTAAGATTCTCTGGTCGATCTCGGAGATCAATGGACGATAAGATGCGACTATCACGACAGATGCAGGTTGTAAATCAGAAACAGTGAACTTTGGAATTATCTGAATGGGATGCTTTCTGAATAGATATCTCTCTGTCAATAACAGGGACCGAAGTATTTATATTCCCTCCTTATGAGATAATGACTGTTTGCAGCCACGCGGGCATTACCAACGCGGACTCTCTGATTGGCTGGATCTGTGCCGCTGTGTCAGCCATTTTGCCTTCGATCCAACTTGGCTTTCCTGTATACAGTCATTTCTTATTTTGGACTGGCTGCTATTGGTTGGGATTGTTAATTGCTGGTTTCTCGTTGGTTTTTGTTTCTATATTACTAGCTTTAAAGGTACCTTGCCACTGGTTGGCATAGCATAGTGCTCCGTACCACACTGTCTCTTAGAATATAGCTACGTTTGATTGGCGCTAGGCCTGCGCTGGACTGCGTAGCTTCGGCATAATCAAGCATTGCGCCTATCTCCACAAAGTATAGCAACATCTGGAAGATGACAAACTACGACATTACTGCTCACAGTACGGAGTACGCTGTACGCAGCTGAAGCGCTCCATACGGAGAACAGATATACAAGTCTGAATGAAAAGGTCACCCCGTTTGTCCTTGATGGTGGCTTACCAAGTAATAATACCAGAAGAAAAATGGTAGAGTACATCAACAGCCATAACGGCCGTCAGCATGTTACATCCTACATACGCACATGCACACGCATACAGAGCGCAGAATCCAGGTTTACGTTTATGGAACACACTGCGCCTCGGCCCGTCTGCAACCTAATCTCACCTACTATATCATATATAAGCGTCGGCATGGGATCAGTATAGAAATGCAAGATATGATAATGATGTACATAAGGTCAATGAGATATGTGCCGCTAGTTGTTTCCACAGTGGCCGACACAAGTCAGTACGGATTCGATAAATCACTCTTTCTTTTAAAAGGATTTGATTGGCCAAGACCAGATCTCAACGGTGATATGACAGATCCGATTAAATGAGATTAAAGAGTGGCTGCGATTGGCTCTGAACTTTAATTAATTAATCCATATAGTAATGGCATGTGTATCGGAGATTTCTTTTATCTTATTCTTACAGCAGATGTTTAAAACGAGTACAGGTTTATTTGATAACAGTATATTCAGATCACTACCCGCCAGGGGTAGTGGGCAATATTAACATAGAAATAAAACAAGGCGGACAATCCTCGGTAAATACAGGAAAAAGCAAATAACGCCATGCAAGGTGATGATACAGTTACACGATCCCTCCTTTCAATAACGAATCGACTCAGGGAGTCAAAATGCAATTCGAGTCGCTCCTGAAATGCACCTCCTTCGAGGTCGCAGCGATGCAGACATTAAATGTTGTATATATAGTAAGAGCACCTGCGTGATCTTAGAGGTAAGAGGCATAGTCCAACGATTGACTTCCAAATCTGGCCCTCATGGGGTCCATTATTTGGGGAGGGTTCATTCGGCCATCAGCTGTGGCCGGCGGCATATGTCCCGTGTCGGATGGATAGGTCGCCGGGAGTGGCATGCCAGCTGTGTTCGCTTGTGTATAGGGGATGTTGTTATTCAACGGATAGGGCTGAGGGTCATAGGAGTAGGGTCGGTAGTCAGGAGAATCCGAAACAGGAACGGAGTGGAGGGCCGGGATCTGGCGAGGTGGTTGCATGGACGTGTTGATGTCCATTCCGCCATAACCCTTCGGGGGCGGCATTGCCATAGATGGGTGATAATTGGGGACTTGGTGACCTTTTGCTTGTTAGTTTTCTTCCTTCTTTGCTTGGTTTTCGACAAACGTACCATGCTGGTCAATGCTGTAGGGAATAGACCCTTCCTGCTGTTCGGTAGGCGAGACAGAACCCTCAATGGGTCGGTTGGGATCGTACCCCGGAACCATGGCGTTAGCAGGTCTTGGGATTCCGTAGTCCATGGGCCGGCGTCCATATGGCAGTCCATGGCCAAGTGATTCCGTACTGGGACTCGAGAACCGGCTGTAGCTATGCGGGAAACCAGGATATGCATCCGAGAAACTGCTAGATCGCGAGAATGGATAAGCACCGCGACCGGCTCGGTGAATATCCGACAGTGATGTAGGAATTGGTGGTCGATTGGGGGCCATGGCATAAGCGTCTTGGGGTCGTTCTGCGGCCGGGGTGGGTGGGAAGTAGCCTCCACCGGCCGACGGCGCACTCATCGGAGACATGGCATACTCCTCGTCATTTGGACGGTTTGGGTTGGTCAGTAGACCCTGGAAAAAAAAAAAAAGTTAGCATTGGTTTTTTTTTAAACTCGAAACTGGGTCGGGGTGACGCTACCGGTGTTTCAGATGTGGATTTGTGGTCAAAAGGAGTTCGTAAGACCTGGGTAGTGTCAAAGTCATCCGGCAAGGCCCGCGACTTTAACATTCGTTCGCGGTCATTGCTAGTCAGACGCTTAAGCTTTGCCCGTCTGGAGAGGGTTAGATATCGTCTAACTGCCCAAAAAGGGTAAAATAAAAACGAACCTGTTTTGGAACCAGACTTGAACCTGCCGCGGAGTCAAACCAGGGATCTCTTTTGATAGACGCTCCCGATGGGCCGCATCGGGATGGGCCTGACGAGTGAACTCGCTCATCAAGAACCGGGTTTGGTTATGGGTGAGACTGCTTTGTTAGCCAGTGTCTTCAATACCAGAAGCCATGGAATACTTACCGGAAGCGCTTCATCTTCTTCTTTTCGAGCTTTTCATCGGAAGGCGTAGTCTGCCGTTCACCTCCATCATCCGATGGAGTCATGACTCCTTCCACGATATCCTTGTCATGGAGATGGGAGTCTGAGTGTTTTCTCTTCCGTTCCAAGCTAGAATCGCGCGTAGCCGGGCTTGAACTGGCAGCATCCTGACTGACACCTGACAGAAGCGGCTCACTGCGGTTGAACCTTTCCAGACGCGTCCGTGAGAGAGGAGCGTCAGTGGTCGCTTGGACAGTGCGATCGTCTGCGTGTTTTGGGGGCATCAACTCTGTTTGAACTGGGGCGTTGATAGTAGTAGAGGAAAAGGTAGAAGGGACTGCCGGCAGCACTGAACCTTCTGTCTTTTCCGGTTGCGTTCTGGTGAGATTCTGTTCTGAGAGCCAAGTGTTTGCTGCTGATGCTGGGGACTGAATGGCGGAGTAATGCGAAGATGCAGCGGGAGAGGGTAGCCAGAGACACGGGCCACTGACGGACATGGTATACCACCGATATATACCAGTGTATATATATATTTACTTCATAAACGAGAGTAGTAACGAGAGGATGAAGAGAAGCAGAAGAAGGGAAAGAGTGATGAGAAGTAAGTCAGCCAGAGAGACCCTGGGGGAGGCAGACGACAGACTGAGTGGGGCGGGCCAGGGCGTTCGGGATGTTTCCTGAAGGAGTCGAGATTCCGATAGCAGTAGTGCTTGTGTGGTTATATAGAAAAACGAGGGGGGAATAAATCACCACTGCAGAAATGAAGGATAAGAAAGTGGCCCTTGGGCATACCAAGTTGAAAGCATTAAAAGAGGGAAAAAAAAAAGAAAGAGAGAGAATATGGATTCAAGCTGGAGGTGACGGTGGAAATAAGAACATCAGGACCTGCTCCGATAGACGATGGAAATAGAACCCACTCAGACTCAACGGTGCAGATTCTCCGATGCTAAGGAAAAATAAAAGAAATAGAAAATAAAATTAAAAAAAGAAGGAAAAGAAAAAAGAGGACGGACCACCGCTTGATAGTCTGACACGAGAACAACCAGGAATAATACCGTTATTACTAGCTTGACTAACAGTTAGTAGCATGGACTAGTAGTGATGCTACAGACACTAGTGCTGAGAGAACTCCTGTCAGGTCTGTGGCCACTGGTTTTAGGGCAACGGCTGGGCTGCTGTAGCAGTGGGGGTTGTGTGGAGTAGACCAGGTACAGTGGGAGTCTTCCGTTACTCGTAGAAGTACTTGATTAACACTTATGGTCAAGAATATCCTTATTATCTACTCCGTTTATGATATTCATCTACAGATCTACCGGATTATCACTTGTACTCTGTACTTTTCTGTACTCCGTATATATTTTACTTTCCTCTGTTTACTGTACTGTACTGTAATAGCCAGATTAAGCTAGATGCGGTCTCGCCCGCCTGCCAAGAAAAGTATTCGTAGGTCTCGACCAGTCAAGCACCGATACGAATAAAATACAGCGGGGCCGCCATGTGTTGCTGAGACGGGTTCAAGCGGTGGACCTTGCGAGGGATGCTTTAGCCGAGGTTGCCCGTTACGGAGGACTACACTTGAGTACTCTACGGAATGTACAGAGTACGAGATATCACTACGTAAACCAAGAGATGTGCTATAGTATAACAGTGCATGTGGGTATATACTGTACTCTGCACTATGTATGTATGCGCGAGCTCTAGTGCTGTACTCTGTACTTGCACAGTACTGCAAAGGTACTGACACTAATGGAAATGATCGACATATGGTAATAGTGTAACGTTACCGTACAAAATCCTTCTGGAAAGCAAGTGTCACCTGTCAGTCATTTTATACACAGAGTTTATCGGCTTTACATCGAGAGTTTAATTCCGCCTGACGAATATTTAGAGTGCTTTGGATGGAGTACTCTGTACTCTGTACAACGGCAATAAATTGTACTCTAAACACACTACAATGCTTATAAGGACCTTACATATTACAGAGCCATAACAATACCAGTATTTCCGGCAGGAGAAATCTCGGAAGTTCCGACCGAACGGGAGGAGCTGAAACCACACGGGCCGGAGGAATATTCCCCCGAATGGTATGATTCTGTTAGCATTATTAATCTTAACGATAAACCACATGGAAGTGGACATTCATAAGTGGGCTTGGAGTCTATCTACAGGAAACAATCAGCCCTGAGCAACAGCACAAAAAAAGAAAAAAGAAAGAAAATTTAGTATTGCGGGGAGATCAATGTGCATCTTGACCCGTATATTCCTGTCTATCCTCTGGACTCTGAACCTGATTCAAGGAACTTTAATTTCAGCCTGTTTCATGGTATCGGCCGGAACTTCAGTATAGTAAACGGATTATTCGTGGATTCGTCCGTACCAAACATTCAGATCAGGGTCCCGATCGATTGAAGAACCTGTAATCTCTCATATCTGGGATCTCAGTGACACCTCATATGGGCTACTCCTGGCCAATGCTCCCTCATTCCCTCACTCGCTTTCTTACTCTCTCTTCCGTTCTCTGTACGATGTACTCCATATTCCTGCTGTGACTGCCGTGATATTCCCTCTACATATTCTCATACGTCCCAGTGTTCCGGATCTCTTCTGCGAACAAGCCAGCCTCTCACATAAATCAATTCCGACCACAAACTGAAACATGCCCCTCCTATAGCACGGCCCTATTATATTCAAGTAAACATAGCCATAAGGTCGAGTCTAGAAAATCTCTCCATCCATCCGATTCCACGGTTTCCTATCTTTCCATCCCGTCAAGTTGAGGACGCGCCTATGCAGGAACAAGTCTCCATTCTAATCAAATGCGCTGATCTTGTTTGCATTATACGAGCCATACTCATTGGCGGAGTACCTTCTACTATACTACCTCCGTACTGTGGCCCGCACTGATTGAATGTTAATATCTGTGATGCGATTTGACAGGTCCCCCTTGGATCTATCTGTCGGAGCTATCTGGTGGTGGCTGTCTGATTGACATGACTGAGTAGCTGATATGGCAAACCTTGCGGTATGGAATAATATCGTTCATCCACCTGCCTGTCTGTCCGTCAATCAACCTGAATGCCTTGGAGAACCTGCAATTTCCGGTGTTGAAGAATATGCAGCATGCAGCCCTGCGACGCATCCGGGTTGACTTCCCTCCAACAGATATGTACATACTCCGCGGGGTCCTGGTTCTGCCCATCAAAAGCACCTCGTCCAATCCGGAAACTGCGTATCCCCACGCTCTGATCTCTGCCACAAACCGGCTTGCGGGACGCCTTCCATGTTGCATCCCATCCCATTGTATTCTCATTACGTCCTGCCACAGCTTGTCCCCCGACCCCACTGTCAAAGGGACGGATGTCAGAAAAAGCAAAGAGTCAGGACCATTCGATTCAGTGACAAACATAGGCACAGACAGACGCGCACACAACGATAACAACAGAACCCATTCATCTCCAAACCCCCTGGTCCATACATACGGAGTATGTCCTCCACTTCCTTTTCCACGCGAATAATGAATCAATAGTTGAATGCACTGTTCCTCTTCATCTCCGAACGGCCTGTCTGTCCTGCAGGCCACACTACCGGTTTTTCCCTTTTTTGTTCCTTCATGCCCCCTCTCCCCTCCCCTCCCCTCCTCTACCCCCACTTCCCGTATGACTATTCTTAGCCGTTGTCCGTTGACATCGGCCGGCGCGTACCGGACGTATTCCCAGTCCCTGCTCGGTCCAATCCCGTCCGGTCAATCCCAGCCCCCCAGTCTTAGTCCCAATCCCTATCTCATCTCGTAGGCCGGTAAACACCGGACGAAGTTAAGTGAACCTAGGTGCACCGGACCCGCCTCGCTTCGATGAGATATGTGCCTTGCTCTAACCATCAAGCCCGTTGCCATTCCGTTTAGCCATCTATGCATATGCATGGTTTTCCCCCCTTCATCCCCTCCCCTCTTTCCTTTTAGCGCCAACGGGTAGCGGCTAACGGGCAACGGTTAAAAAAAGAAAAGAATAGAACGGAGGATGATCAGTGTCGGTAAAATACTCGATTCGTTATTATGCACGCACGTATTCAATTGTACACGCACTGGCTGACATGGTATGTAGTATGGCAATAATGTGGTCCGGCCGTATTCGTTCGGTTCTATGTTTCTCTTCTCGTCTTCTCTCCATGCCCCCGTATCCTTCGCCCCTTACGACGCTGCGCCAGTCGCGGCCGAAGTTTCCTGAGACTGGTCAGTCATCGTCGTATCTTGCTCTTCTTGGCTTTCTGTGACTGGGGCCGCAATTGTGGCTTCGCCACCGGTCGACTCGTGACCCTGGTCATTGTTACCGCCGTTTCCGCCTCTTTTAGTTTCCGTCGCCACTTCTTGCACTGTTTGTTCTGGTGCAGGGACGGCTGCGGGTGCGGATGCTTTTTGTGATGCCTGCTCTGTCGCTGGGGCGGTCTCGTGTGCCGAGGTTTGTTCTTGCGATATTTGCTCTTGTGTCTGTCCTTGTGTTTGTATTTGGGTCTGCTCTTGTGCCTGGTCTTGGTTTTGTTCCTGGGTTTGTGCCTGTTCAGGTGCTGGTGTCTGCATCTGCGTCTGCGACTGAGATGTTCCTGCTCCCTTTTCAGATTCTGGAGGCGAAGGATCCTCAAACAACGCCTTCAGGTTCTTTCCATCATCAATCTTGTCGAACGCGGCTAGTTTATTCCGTGATGACAGACGCAGTATCCGCCATGTTTTGCTCGCCTTCGACCTTAAAGCATTGTCCTTTTCCTCCTTTGACTGCGCCATGTCAATATCGAGTTCGTCGTCCATGATGCCCATCATAAAAGTGTCTGCCGTTGGGACGTTGAACCTAGACATAATCGGTTAGTCGACATCGATGTCGATTAGTGGATGGACAAACATACCGGTTTGGCTCCTTGAGTCGGTCAAGGCTAGCCAGTGCCTCACCTTCGGACAGGAATTTCAGATCGAGGGATCCCATAGGCGAAGGGCGGAGTCGTTTGCTGGAGTATATTTTGGACGCTTGCTCTCGGGAAGCGACATACTCGGATACTGACACGGGAGGTCGCTCGATCAGTGGACAGCCCTCAGCTTTCCACCGGACCCAGTTCTTATCCCGTGAGAGAACTGTGTCGACCATACGGTAGTAGAACTTGCCTCCTGCTCCTTCCTGGAGGTATTCCTCGATCGCCTTGCGCATTTTGGTTGCCCATTTGGCCTGCACGGGTTAGAAGTTGTCCATGGCCAATCGCTGATGGTGTTACTTACATCTTCGTCACTCAGCACAAAGCCGTAAAGCACGGACTTGTTAGTCAAGTCAGCTAGACGGCCTTTAGCCTTAGGTGTAAGGGAGAGCATAAAGTCCAAAAGGATTAGGGCCTGCACAAGGACGTGTCTCCGAAACGCTGTATCATTGATCTGTATCATGTCAGTACGTATAAAAAAACTAAGACCTCGTATGCTGTAGCATACCTCCAAATCAAAGAGATCTCTGCTGGTAAGATATTTCGGGTTAAAGCTGCTTGCGATCTCAGTATCATCCGGCGTGCGCTTCCGCTTCATCGCTTTGCGCAGCTCTTCTGCTGATTTGCTACTTTGGCTTTCGAGATCCGTTTTGATGTTCTTGAAAGTCGAGAGTGTCGACTCAAGTCCGGCCTTGAAAGTCGCAAAGTGCCGAGGATCAAACATCCTGGTTGGTGCTGAAAAGTATGCTTGCAAGCCCCAGAACATCGGGTATAGTGCATCCAGATCGATATTTTTCTCGGCTTCTTTGTTGGTATTATCCGATACGACGACCTTCGGGGTCTTCGGAGCCTCTTGGTCGTTAGAGGGTTGCTGGGTATCTTTCTCGGCCTTCTGTTCCTCAGATTCCTTCTGATCCGTCATCTCAATGTCTGCTCCCTCATTCTCTTTCGATACTGTCTTGGTGTTTTCGTCGAAGGTCGTGACATTTTCGGTGTGGTATTCGCCCCGAAGGTTGACAGCGCTCTTATCGCCAAGTGGGAAGCTCTGGAAGAGGAAAATGAACACTCGTCCACAGAAAACCGTATCCTCTGCTCGAGACAACCGTCGGAGTAATTCGTTACACGATCGAAGGATGACTAGACTCTTCTGCTTGAAGTGTTTCTTGGAAATGTCAGTAAACATACCATGGTAGAATAGTTTAGCTTCCAGAGATAGGGTACATACCTTTGTGTTGCGCTCCCTGCGTGACTCCAGGTAGTCAAAGACCTTTCGACATCCATCGATTGTCTGGCTATCAAGGAGCTCCTCAATTAACCAGAAAATCAGACCCGGCTCGCATTGTTCTACAGACGTTAGCTCATAGATTAAAAGCTCCTGTTCACATTCGTAACCAACCATTGTCGGAGAAAATAGAGACGACATCAAGCAAATTCCAGACCTGAATAAAACCAAGATCATCGATCGATGTTGTCGCCTTGAGAGAAATTCATGGTCAGCCGTCTTCCATAACTATGCGCGTCTCTCGACAAAGGGGCAATCCATACAAGAACGCTGTAGAATTTCTCCCTGAAAGCAATCTCAACAGCAGCAAACTGCGTCTGTTGGTTCATTCGAACCACTGCCTGTGCGTCGTCTCCCTGCACCTGCCATATCGACTCGCCCAACTGCGCTTCGGTCAACGGGGGCTCGATCTGCTTGTCCGGTTTCACGCGCTCAGCCCGATCGAGGAGATCATCGACCAGCCTCCTGTATACTCGAGTCGCCTCAACATCCACGTCCACCATATTGATCTTCAAGCAGCGAAATCGTGAACTGTAGTCGAACGGGGGCGTGCGTTCGTCGTCCAGTAATGTCGCACGCGCGGGTTGGCTAGGATGATCTCAGGGCCATTCACCGCGGCTCTGCGGAATTTAGCCGCCTGGAGTCACTAGACGCGCGGCAGAAGCTTGTCCCCGTTCCGCCCGCAACGAACCACTTGCGCAAATGGTGCAACTAGACCGGACTCGCGCTTGGACTTTTAACCCTTTCTAGGAGATATCCCAACTTGAGGAATGGGACTACAGACTCGTCCGACAATGGCGCAAGGTCTTGATTCCAGACCAACCGTGGAGGACTTTCGCGAAGACAGCACGTGGGTGAAGTTGGCCAAGACCCATTGGCTCGAGACGTCGAACGTCCGCAAAGCGAAGCAGGACGTTATCAAGAAGGAAATTTGGGATCCTTTAGAAGCGGAGAGCTTCAATGTCCGCTCCCTTCTCACATTGGAGAATTTGAGCATTCTGGAGAAGTACGATCCGCCATTGCACTATATTGAAAACAAGAAGACAGAGCTAACATTGCTTTATAGGTACCTTTGGCCGACATACACCGAAGATGCTTCAAATTACCACGTATTATTGATAGCTTTGATTGTGAGCGTCAAGCAACGCGAACATCTTTCGATATGGGGTATGTACAATGTCATGAACATGAATGATGAAGTGTTGACGTTGGGGCTAACTGGCTACAGGGATCTTCTCCGACAAACCAGACGAATTCTCCAGTCTATTCCACCGAATCCTCTCGATGAGCATCGATAACTCGCTGGCTGTGTCCTCGCGATTGGCGATCCTATCCTTTATTATCAGCGCTTTCCAATCCCTCGAGAACACCCTGGTACGAAAAGAATGCGCTCCTCTTGTTTCCATCTCGATCTGGCACAGCCTGCCAAGCGACGAAGCGAGGGAACGTATACTTGGCAAGGGACCGATGTTGAAAAAAGCATGGAGAGCTTCGGCGAAGCGATACGACGCGGGAGACGAGGCAACAAAAGCAAAAATGCGATTCGAGAGGTCATGGCTTTATACGATGCTTCTTGATTTTACGCGGAGACTGAACGGGCCGGTGCAAGAACAGGCAGACGATTTAAGATACTGCGAACGCTTCCTCGAACTCTTGGTTGACTTGGAAAGCCAGCTTCCTACAAGGCGTTATGTCAACACACTTTTAAAGGACCTCAACCTGCTGCCCGTGATTCGCCTATCTCAGCTATATCGTTCCCCCGAAAATGCGCTTTTCCGCGACTTCTTCAATCTTCTTAAGCATTTCGTTAACTTCGCGATTGACGACTATTCGGGTCAGGCTCTGTCACCCCAGGCTGTGTACGATATCCATTGCCAGGAGTTGGCGAGGCTGCAGAGGACGTCCATGAAGTACTTCAAAGATAAGTTAATGATCCTTGCGTTGTCAAACTACGGTTCTATCGAGCAGCGTTCTGAGTTAGAGGGGCAATTGTCTTCCTTGGAAGATTCGGAGCTTCAGAGTCTGTGCTCTCACCTTGGATTCAGGGTAATTTACCCCCAGCAATCGCAGATTATGCCCAGCCGTGATTTATATCTGGAGATACTATTGTCGTTTTACGAACGGAAGCTACCCTTCCAGGAAGCTGCGTCGCATCTAACAACCATTCCCACGGAGGAAAGTCTTTATGATCCAGCGCTCATTCGGAATGAGACTTACGACGGATCGAGACCGCTCGCTATCCCGAAGTTAAATCTTCAGTATCTGAGCCTTGGTGACTTCCTTTGGCGTTCATTCCTGCTATACCGTTCCGAAGCCTTTTTCCAGATTCGTAAAGATATGGAGGCAGTTGTTAAGCGCATGCAACCGAGAATCAGTCGAGACGGTAGAACGTTAAGTTTTGATGGATTCTCCCGAATGGCTATCCCGATCTCTAAGCCAGCCATAATTGAAGTTGCACCTCCGAAAGTTGGCTCGGCGAACCCAGCCTTCGTCCGCGCGGAGATTGCTATTGAGGTTGGCAGACTAGCAGACAATATTCGAAAGGAGTGGGAAACGCTTCGCCCAGACGATGTTGTTTTTCTCTTGGCAGTCCAGCAGACCCCCTCGAACAAGTTTGGGATTCGCGACCAACCGGAGGGACCTAGTCTAACGTACCTGCGGTCAGCTGAAGTCGTACAAGTTCTTGATGAACAGGGCCGTCCCCTACGCGAACCTACGGGGGCGAACGGTTACCATCACAGACCACGCGTCAGGAAGTTGCTGCTCAATCTGGACAGTGCTGCTTTCAAGGCGGATAAGAACCGAAACGCGCAGGGACGGCCAGATATCTATCCGTTAATAAATGTGATTGCAAGGAGGAAAGGACGAGAAAACAACTTCAGGTCTATCCTCGAGACGATGCAGAAACTCATCGTCTCGGATATTACCCTCCCATCCTGGATCCAGGACATTTTCCTGGGCTATGGAGACCCGGCCGGTGCTCGATACACGGAACTCCCGAATCGTCTCAAGTCGGTTGATTTCCGTGATACATTCTTGAACTGGCAGCACTTGGTGGAGAGCTTCCCTGGTCTAAGCATTGAGCCGTCCGGAAATGAGAATTCGAGCTTTGGTCGTCCGTACGTGCTTGAATATGTTGAGAATATTTCACAGCCTGCTTCGGCCAACCCGTCGAAAAAGCGGCGGAGAGACCAAGCTGAAAAGGCAACAGAACCAAGCTCAATTCGTGCTTCGACCTATAAGCCTCCAAACCCGGGCCCTTACCCAGTCGATGCGCCCAAGCTGAACACTGTCCGTTTCACCCCAGCCCAGGTGGAAGCCATTACATCCGGAACACAACCTGGTCTCAGTGTGATTGTGGGCCCTCCAGGAACTGGAAAGACAGATGTCGCAACACAGATTATCAATAATATTTATCACAATTTCCCCAGCGAGCGCACGTTGCTCATTGCCCACAGCAATCAGGCTCTCAATCAACTCTTCCAGAAGATTGTGTCACTCGACATTGACGAGCGACATCTTCTACGACTCGGTCATGGTGAAGAGGAATTGGAAACAGAGTCGAATTACAGCAAATATGGCCGAGTCGAGTCTTTCCTCGACAATCGCTACTATTACCTGTCCGAAGTTGCACGGTTAGCAGCATCTATCGCAGCAGAAGGTGCTCATGGTAACTCCTGTGAGACTGCTGGATACTTCAACACGGTCTACATTCAACCAGCGTGGGCGAAGTTCTGGGACTATGCTCGCGCTGAAAATACCTCTACCGAGGAATTAATATCTGCATTCCCATTTCATACCTATTTCTCTAATGCACCGCAGCCTGTCTTCGACCCTTCTGCTACGAAAGATACCGTGCTGGACGTGGCGGAAGGTTGTCAACGGCATATTGCGAAGATCTTCGCCGAACTAGAAGATATCCGTCCTTTTGAAGTTCTGAGACAACCTCGGGATAGGGCCAACTATCTTTTGGTGAAGGAGGCCAGAATCATCGCAATGACCTCGACACACGCAGCCATGCGGCGTAAGGAAATCGCCGATCTGGGCTTCCACTACGATAATGTCATCATGGAAGAAGCTGCGCAAATCACAGAAATTGAGAGCTTCATCCCTGCCGCTCTTCAGAACATGAAGAACGGCGAACTGCCACTCAAACGCGTTGTTCTCTGTGGTGACCATCTCCAAAACTCCCCCATCATCCAGAATCTTGCTTTCCGCCAGTACGCTCATTTCGAGCAAAGTCTCTTCCTGCGTCTGGTCCGATTAGGTGTTCCTGTTATAACCCTTGACCAGCAAGGACGTGCAAGACCTAGCATCGCAGAGCTCTTCCGGTGGCGCTATGACAAGTTGGGCAACCTCCCAGTGGTCGAAACAGCACAGGAGTTCAAGCAGGCAAACTCCGGGTTCCAGTTCGATTATCAATTCATCAATGTACCCGACTACCTGGACTCGGGCGAAAGAGAACCAACTCCCCATTTCATTCAGAACCTGGGCGAGGCAGAGTATGCTGTGGCCATGTACCAGTATATGCGACTTCTCGGTTACCCGGCATCAAATATTACCATTCTAGCCACATACGCAGGGCAAACAGCATTAATCAAGGATGTCTTGAGCCATCGCTGTGCCAAGAACAACCTGTTTGGTATGCCCAAGATCGTCACGACAGTGGACAAATACCAGGGTGAACAGAACGACTGTAATTTTCCTTCCCGCAGTATATAATCTTGATTGCTTCCCATGCTAACTCAATTCACAGATGTCATCCTATCTCTCACGCGAACCCGCACAGTCGGTTACATGCGTGACGTCCGCCGCTTAACAGTCGCACTCTCCCGCGCCCGCCTCGGTCTTTACATCCTTGGCCGCCGTGAAGTTTTTGAATCCTGCTACGAGCTTAAACCCGCCTTCGAACTCCTCTTTCAACGCCCCGACAAACTCATGCTCGCGCCTGGTGAGATGTTCCCGACCACACGTTCCGTGGACGATGAAGTCCAGGGCACACCGATGGAGGGGGTAGAGCATCTAGGTCAGTACGTGTTTGAGATGACTCAGGCGAAGCTGAAGGCCATGGGCGAAGATATCATGGTGGAAGATGCGATACCGGATGCTGATGCGGAGCTGGTTGATGAGGATGAGGTTATGCTGGGAGCTGGGGAGGAGCAAGATGAGGAAAATTACGTTGCATGAGTGCATTGTCTAGGTACCAGGTATCATTTTATTTACCTGTTGATATATGATATGTTTTGGGCTTGTTTTTCTTCGAATGTCGCAACTAGCCGTTGCCGGCATCTACTGCGTACATTATTACTCTACTTTGGGCTCGTATGAAAAGTAATAATGATACTCAGAGTTGGTGAACCATACCTCCGGTAGTGTAATTGATTCGTCTTCATTCTAATCATTGCATCCGAAGTAATGTGCTTTGAGGGTTCATATGTCAACACGGTCCTCAATAACTTCCCATGAACAAATCATTTCCTCTGACTGAACTCAACCATTTCATATCGCAGAGTCGTTCTATGTTGTGTGGGAAAGCCATGTTTGCTTGACGATAGGGAGAGCAAGTTTCCGCTGTCTGCTTATAGCTAAGCTAACACATATACTCCCAGTTATATATGGAGATCCATTCTCTATTTCCATGTGGTCTATACATAGTCTCCTATATACCACATAACGGCATAGCATCAGAACTATCAATATCTATGACGTAAATGGTATCAAGACTTTTGCTCCTTTTGCTCATTGAGTTCCCTGAGCTGCTCGACGATATTCTGCGGATCCTTCCAGGCTAGTGCGACGAATCTGTTACTAGTTAGCGCATGCAATCATGTCTTGCATCAGGATGGTGTAGGTGTACTTCGTGTGGCTTCCTCTTGCGACGATGTCGCCGGCAAGGTTTGTGAACCTGATGTTGGTGTATGCGAGGGTTTTACCGACTGTGGTTGTCAGCAAACTCTCAATGCAGACCTTTTGCAAATCATAGTTTCCAACAAGCATGGCTCACATTTATCACAGGTGACCTCCTTTTAGGAAGTTAGTATATGTGCATAACAAACACATACGGATCATGGAGCTTACAGCCAAGATCTTGTCGCCAATCTTTCCTCCAGAGCTTAGGTATGTCACTGGCGTAGCAATGAGTCAATCATGAAGCTCTGTAATGGTTCAACTGTTCCGGTTATCCTACCGCTGAGATCTGTCGAGACACCCGTCGCAAAGAGACCCCGAGAGGCCACGGCTAAAGAGCCACCAAGGTCGACTTAAAGTAAAGTCAGTTTCCTGCATATCATCTATTACGAGAGGCATTTTGCAATTGACATACCCATGCTAGCAATTGTGCCTCCATGGAGGATGTTCAAGCGGTTCTGATGGACATCAGCTTCTTGTAAACCATCTGACCATTCCAAGTTGCATAGCTTACCGTGTGCTCTTTCTGGACTTCCAATTCAAAGTTGACAACGCCAGGTCGGGCGGCCGTCACTTGCAGCTGAAGGAACCGGTATTAGTCTATGCTGATATGCGAGCCGAATCTATGGCCTATACAAAGGCCTCTCGCGATATACATTGTTCTGTCTTGGTGCCTAATAGAAGATATTTGGACACATGCCAAACTTACATTGTTCAATAGACTACATATCACCAGTTCATCAGCAACAACATCCTATCATCAAAAGTGAACGTCGTTACTTACCGAGGCTCTAGACCCGATGTTGCCCGAAAGGACTCCCAGACCTATATAGATGTAGCAGTGATCAGTATATGCTGTTGTGGTGCCATTGTACGAGCGCTGTCTCACATACAGATCTAACAAAGCGCAAAGCAGTCATATTCGCAACACTATAAAGCAAGAGAAATTGGTTATGGTGGTAAATCGGAAGGCAATCAGTACTCTGAAGTCATCACCGTAGGACTGCGCAAGTGGCCGCGTGGGTCACCGGAGTCCTTGCGATGAAGCATCAAATGTGGTTGTTTTCTGTTTGCTTTTTGTCGCCGTGGACGCATCATGCAACTGAGGTAATAGTATTCTCCTCAAGATGGCTGCTGCACCATCCCGTCCGTTCGATTTCCTGGAGGGCTTGCCTGGGACGGTTTTCTACAAGCTGTACCAGCAGCCATCCACGGCCCTCGCCATTTTCAGGCGCATGCTACCGGATCTGGGTATGTTTCTTCTGTGCTTAGAGAGAAGCAAAGGAGATATTAATGAGAATTAGCAAAATGTTTTGTGATGGCATTACTATATCTCAAGGAACCCCTTCCTGCGACGGACCTGGAGGATTGGGTCAGATCGGAGAGTTTGAGGTGAGTACTGTTTGCTTCTATCACTATGATCAAGATCTAACAGATGATCGCATGCAAGGGAACGAGATAACGCGCTATCGATACTGGGAAGATTGCACATTTTATCAAACACCACGACATCGAATAATGTCCGCGCTTACATGGTCACGAACCCGTTCGCCGCCTCCCTCCGCCAGGCTCTCATGGGAACCGAACAAACACAATCATTTGGTGTTCTTTCACAATTAGGTGATGAAACAGCGGTTACTATTCCCAATCTGGACGAATATGCGGGACGACAGTGGGAAGGTGTGCTAGGATACATGGTGGGAACCAGTGGGCTAGGTATCCAGCGCGACGTCAATCTGAGCAAGGGTGTCAAACAACTTCTCCAGGCGGGGCACCTCGTCGAAATTAGGGACCGTCGGGTCGAGATAACAAAAGATGGATTCGCATTCGTCCTGCAGGATGTCGGTACGCAAGTCTGGCATATTCTGATTCTCTACGTTGAAAGCGCAGAGCATATCGGGATGGACAGTGTTGAGGTCCTTTCTTTCATCTTCCTTCTGAGTAGTTTGGAATTGGGCAAGTCATACCAGAAGAAGGATTTGACTTCGACTCAAATCCGTACTCTGACTGATCTGACCGACTTTGGTATCGTATACCAAGAAAATCCCGAAGCCACTCGGTTCTACCCAACCCGTCTCGCCACAACGCTCACATCCGACTCTAGCGCACTCAGCAACTCCATTTCAGGCTCACTTATGGGGACAGACACATCGACCGAAGCCGGCTCGGGGTTCATCATCGTCGAAACCAACTATCGCATATACGCATACACATCATCACCCCTCCAAATCTCCCTAATCGCCCTATTCTCCACCCTAAAATACCGTTTCCCAAACCTAATCACCGGCAAAATCACCCGACAGTCCATTCGTCGCGCCGTCGAAATGGGTATCACTGCAGACCAGATCATCTCGTACATATCCACGCACGCACACCCGCAAATGCGCAAACACAACATCGCCAAAACCACAAACCCGCAAGCTGGAGTCCCGCCGTCAGTTCTCCCGCCTACCGTGGTCGACCAAATCCGGCTCTGGCAACTTGAGCGGGATCGTGTCAAGGCGACGGCTGGCTTCCTGTTCAAGGATTTTGTCAGCTTTGCGGAATACGAAGCACCGTGTCGATATGCGGAGGATATTGGGGTTCTTACGTGGAAGTCTGATCGGAAACGGATGTTCTTTGTGACGAGGCATGAGCAGGTGGCTGCGTTTTTGAGGAGTAGGAAGTGATGATATATCTATGAAAGCTATTCAGAAGGGGAGTTCCAGAACAAAATGGCGCACGTTGGTTTTGCATGGTAAGGCGTTATGGGTGTCAACATACTTTATGGTTAATAATTTTGGGTATATAGAATGTTGTCATCAGTTTACAGGGATCATAGGGAAACTGTCAAATGAGATTTTGACTATGCTACATGGATATTAAATGTTACTTAACACATTCTGTGCTTTTGGTACAACCCGCACCTGCGCAATTCAAGCCAGAAATTTCGCAGTACATTTCGCAAAAATTATGCCCGAAAACGTGAGAGCAAAGCCCTACTCAAACCATCCCATATAGTCCATCTGAGAACAGCGCAGCATCAACCCATCCACCGATCACCCTTCACACCAATATACTCACTCCGAAATGCCCCCAAACTCCGACTCGCCTCCTCCGTCAAACACGCATTTTCCAACACCATAAACGCCCTTTTAACCCGGTAGTTTGCCAAATTCCTCTCCGCAATCCCGTCTGGACGCGAATAACACGAGAGCATGCCAAATCCCGTCGTGGTGTCGGGCTGGTTGAAGGAGTCTTCGTAGTGGAAGGCATTAGTTAGGGTGACGAAGCGGCCAAGCCAGTACTGGATGGGTTGGGCCTGGGAGACTTGGTGGAGGGGGTGAATGGGTTCCTCTTGTGGTTGAGTTTCGCTGAGAGGCGCAGTCTGTGGCTGGGCCATTCTATCTGCGCGGGTTTTGTGTCTGCTTCGTTCTTGCGTTCTGGTGGATGTGAGAGCGTGAGTGCGGCTTGTTCGTCTGTAGGAGGGTTCGTCGAGGTGCGCATGAATAAGTGGCATGGTTGGGTTTGTGTCGTATGATGATTTCTTTAAGATCTCTGAGCTCCTCCTGGTCCAGTAGAACCTCCGTGGCTCGACGTTGTCCATTGGTTCTGGCATTTTGCTTGTCATTCCATCCAGCGAAGCAAACATACTGGATAGTCGAGATCCCTTTTCTGTCGGTAATTGGGGAAGTAGTCGCGAATCTCTGGTGGCATGAACCTTGGATTGCGCTTTCCTAGCCATTGGAATCCGCTGGACATCATCCGCTTGCACTTCCTCAATCGTAGCTTCCTTACGCGGAAACCTCGAAGACAGAACCCGGCTGCTGAGTCGTCCATTATGGGAAACTGAAGAAGAAAGAGAATGACGCTTATGTCCTGCCTCAAACTTAGTAAAGCTTGGTGTAGAAGCTGACGTAGGAATGGGGATCATTGTGCGAGACGGGGTAGTGCGTGAGACAAATTCCACGCAATCAGAGTTGGACAGTGGTTCGTCTTCGTGAGCGTGCTCCTGTGGTAAAACGTATGGTGAACTAGCAGTCCCTAAGGCTGTATCATGGTATCCAGATTGTTGATTGTTGCTTGAATACTGATACGAAAAGCTCCATCTTTTTGTTTCAGTGTTGCTCTCCATCTTGTCCTTCTCTTTTCCCAAGACCTGTCTTCCCAAAGATGAAAGAACACTCTTCCTTCCTTCTTTTTGATTAAGCCTCTGGGAATAAAGGTTCTCGTCTAGTAGATCTAGGGGCGTGAAAGGCCTCGACTTCAGACGCGCTTTTGTTGTAGTCATCGTGTCCTCTTGATTCGAATCTATCCGTAGTTTGGCAATAGTTGTAGTCTCGACACTTCTTGATGATGCGGATGCGGACAGGCGTGGTGCTCGTAGCTTCAAGCGTTGAAGTCGACTCTTATTAGTTTCTTTTAGTGGTTGATGTTCTGAGGGGGAGGAGCCATTGTGATTTAGGCCAGGTCGCCTTATAGGTAGAGGCAAAGAAGAGTGACGTTGCTTTCTATTAGATGATTTTCGAGAGAGTATGGATGAGAGGGATTTGCTTTTGGAGATGGAAGTGGTCGTAATGGTAATGATATTGGTGGCATAAGTATTGGGGGGGTTATTGTGTGCGGTGTGTTGGGGACATTTGTCTTCATGATGGCTGCCAGTGGACTTTTTTCTAAGAACTTGCAGGGGATTTGGCATATTGGTTTGTAGATGCTTTTCAGTGGTTATTACGCGATTAAAGGATAGTTGTTGATGGTAAGGTTAGGGTTCTGGGGTTTTGTTTGTTTGCCAGTCAGAAAAGCAATTGCAATAAAACTGTCTATTAGCCAAATCACAATTATATGTGCAACTTTATATTCACTATTAACTTCTATAAATAAAAATCGCCGAATACAAATGCATTCACCTTAGGTGTCTCTATTTTCCCAAGACAAATCCAACCAAACGCCTCATCAATCATCAGCATGTCAACAAGACAACTATTCTGAATCGCTCTCTATCACGAATCCAGCCCGCATTCGTCTTCGACCTGATGCAGGAGGTACTGCATCTTCGTCTTCATCGTCGCCTGCGATATTTGTATCCGCTGTCTTCGTCGCTAGCATTTCATCTTGATCAACAGAACCAGACTCCCTTCGTCGATCCCGACCGAATGCAAGATCATCGTCAAAATCGAGGTCATCCTCAACGGGCGCAAAACGGGTATCCTCAGCAGGCGAATCATCTCTCTCAGACGCGTCGCCAACCCCTGTCATAAGAATATCATCGTCGTTGTCCTCATTGCTGCCACCGTTGGCTTCAGCCTGAGGACGACGCTGCCGTTTGCTGTGGGCCCCTGCGACATCATTCTTGCGTTTTCGCCCTCCTTTCTTTTTGCCTGGGCCATCGCCCAAGTCCCCAGTAAGGAGGGCTTTCTTGACCCGATCGGCTTGAGCTTTCCGTCTCTCTTCCTCGAGCCGGAAGAACTCCTCATCGTCACCGCTTTCCTCGTCACTTGCATGAATGAAGAGATCACTCTTGATCTTGGCCTGGCGGGCGCGGGCATTCTCCAGGCGTGCCTGTCGCCGTGCCTCTATCGTCTCGTCATCTAGTGGCTCTTTCTCGCCATCTTGACCCCGCTTCTTTTTGCGCTTATTCTTTAACTCGTCGAGAGCATTAGATTTGTTCCGCAAATTTGGCGGAAAAAGGAAACCACCTGGTACATCGTCTTCACCCTCCGAATCGGAGCCGAAATTGACATTTCCCGTGGATCCAGGGTCACCGCTTCTGGCATTCTCACCGTACTTCCGCCGAAGCAATTCTCGAGGGTCGTTGTCATTGGAAATAGGCTTGTCAAGGGACTGGTCGATGATAATCTTGGTGTTTTTGAGATCTTGCGAACTGAGGGCCGACGGAACAACCCATTGCGCGCCAGCAACATCTTCCATTCCGAGTCGTTCAAGCTTAACCAACGTCATCAGAAGACGAAGTTTAGCGTTCGAGAACATGGCGTTCCGAGTCTTCTCATCAGGCGATGTGACGGCTGCATGTCTGTTAGTATGATGACTACTAAAAGGAGAAGATTTGGCCTAAACCTACCAATCATCGGGTTAGGGGCGTCCGGTCTCTGCGACCCTTCAGCTTGTCGTTCTGTCTCGTTCGCTTCCCAAGATTCTCGTTCATCGGCTGCCGACCCCAGAACCTCGCCGATCCACTTGACAAACTCCGTCTGTTCATCCTTGATCATTGCAGCTACCACGATGCCAAGCTTATCTTCGATCGTCGTGGCTTCTTTAGGATTGACTTCAAGCTCAGCCGGTGCCTTTTTTATACCGGATATAGTTTGCCTCTCATGTCCGTATTCAAGATAGAACACAGTCGCATTGATCTTGCTGAATAGCATCTCTGTGACCAATGCGGGACGCTGCTCCATCTTCTTTACCATCCGCCTTATTATCTGCTTAACCAGCTCTTCCCAGTCTCGGAAGATTGGCTGGCTCGGTTCCAGGGCTCCGGGTCCTTTGATCATCCGGTAGAAGAGATTGATAATGTCCACCCGGAACAGCAACACGGTCATCTCTTGCTTAAAAGCAATCCGGTAAAAGTAACGGTGAGCGCGTTTCAATTGCTGCGTGTCCAACTCCTTGTAATTTCTAGTGAAAGCAACAAAAGTGTCAACGCATTTTTGATTGCAGAATCTAGCCGAGAATCGTGTAAAGTCGAATTTGCGTTCTCTAGATACTCTCTCGGTATCTTCCTGATCTTCATCCTCGGAAGCATGCACTATTTCGTTCTCACCGGCGAGCTGGTCTTCTTTGGCCTTTCGTCGAGCTTTTCGGCGCGATCGCACCTGCATGTCGGTATTCATCTTCGAGTAACGCTCCAGCATTCTCAGAAATACATGTGCAAGTTCTGTACATGCGTCAAGATAACCGAAGCCTTGATCCTTGAAGCCGCGAATGATAGACAGAATCCGGTCATGGGTGGTCTCTTCATAGAAGATCCGGCTTTGAATATTTTCCGCGATTTCCTGATCTTCTTCAAGTGGTGAGAGTGCCATTTCTTGGACAGTCAATAGAATTTGCGTGAAACAACGCATCTCGGCAGTCAGGTCTTCCCAATCCTTGTTGTCTAAGGCGTACTGCATAGCGCGGTTCAGAAATACGAAGGTCTCTTGGTTCAGAACACTGGCAACCAAGCCAAAGCTGTCAGGTTGAATATCTTTCGAGCGTTTCCCTTCTTTTGCATGCTTCTTGCGCTGACAGTCGCGCCGTGCCCGCTCCACCTCTAGGAACCAAGCAACGATATAAAAATATTGGCGAGAATTGATACTGACCACTCGATCGGCCTCCCGTTCAATTGCCTTCCGGACGTGGGTCAAGAGCGGGTTGAAACCCGTGTCCAGGAATTCCTCTACAAACTTACGCAGGTTCTTCAATGCAGTTGATGAGATACTGACCGGCGATGTGAAATCATCGTTCACTGTGACCTCAGTTATCCGTCTGCGCTGCAGGGGCTTGTTCCATTTCTTGGTCTGGTCCATTTTCTGCATCGTTGCTTGACCATCTTTAAGAACATCCTGTCCTGAGACGGTAGAAACTTTGGCGTCATCCCGTTTGACCCAGATCATAGTGCCGAATCTGCCGTGTCGTGTCGGTGCATTCTTTGTGTACTCTCTTCGTAGAGACGACTCTTGCCGTAGAAGGTCATGTAGTTCATTTGTGCGCTTCGAGCTACGCTGTTCATCATCCATAAACAGCTTTTCCACATTGATACCTTTGACGATGTGGAACAGAATCTCGAGAAGGACCACGTCTTGTAAGCTAAAGTCGTCGCCAACGTTCGAGCACATGGTCAGAAGGAGGGCAAACGCATCCTGCTCCTGGAACGCATTGATGGTTCTAGATCTAGAGGTTTCTTCCTCTTCACCCTCTGCCACAAGACGAGTATCCGGCGTGATAATGATTACGTTCCGAAGTAGGTAGAGCATAAGCTTAAGAATTCCTTCGTCTCGGTTCGTGCGTTCGGATCGGGGCATGGCCATACTGGGGAGGCCAATTCGGATGATGGTGCGGAGGAGACCGGCGCTCGCATTGCTAAGAAGGCCTTTTTTGTACTGAACCTGTACTTGTTGCAGATACGGCATATGACGGGCATGGTTGACGGTCATTTCCTTGTGTATTTCCAACGGCCAAGTCATAGGAACCAGCAATTCCACTGTCATCGTCAGGTATCAGCACCGTTCCTTGTCCCTGTTCAAGATTCCATTCTCAGGTGCAACTCACAGCAGGCCAATGCTACCCTCGACATATGCCTGCTGGCCTTCTCGCTGCTTCCCCATAGTGTAAGGATCGGTATCAAGTCGCCGTTCACGAGATTGGATTCTCCGAGACATCGCGCAACATCCATCCGGTTGTTTTTCTCATCGTACAGCTTCAGCCACCGCTTAATATCTCGTAAACACGCCAGCGCATCGTCTCCCAGAACATATCGATCCGCATCTTCGCCGTTGAAACCACCGAGCTGCGTGGGCCATTAGCGACGTCTCTCCCTCCCCATAGAGCATTCGAGCAACTTACCGCAGTCACCAGACTATAGACATAAGCTCTAACGTCCGGGTCCACAACCTGGACATTCTGGCCGAAAACGGCGCCGTCGTCTTCCATAATGCCGTCGTTGCCGTGGCCGATTCGTTTGGATTAACTGAATTTCTCGAAAATGATCAATATCCCATAAAGGCAATGCGTGCCCGAGCAGCCAATAAGCACGCGTTCTTCACGCGTTGCCCGCGTTGAAAGGGCCTACCTAGCCTCGGGTGGTCGGAGGATTAATTCCGCCGCCGAGCCGAAAATAGCCGATGACGTCGCGTCACATGATAGATATCGAGTTATACAGACAACTTACCCCGGGGTATTCTTTCTCTTCTTTTGTTTTGCTTTGAGATTTAACATACTACTCAGTGAGAGCCACACTGTCATTATGCTGTTGTCTTCCCTTCGGATACTCGGCCAACGAGGCCCCTCCATTGCCTCTCGTACTTTCAGCACCACTTCTGTGGCTTCGGCTGCCGAAGTCAAGTCGCTGGGTGTGATTGGAGCTGGTCAGATGGTAGGCAATGCCCCTCATACGCACATTTTTCTAGCTAAGTTGGACTGAATGCTAACCGTGGGTCCAGGGACTGGGAATTGCCCTGGTGGCTGCCCAGAAGGCCGGTGTCCCCGTGACATTGATCGACAACTCTCAAGCATCATTGGATAAGGGTCTTAAATTTGCTGGTAACTATTAGACCAATCCTGAGACAAAGATGCATGTATTAACACCTTTCAGATAAGCTACTTGAAAAGGACGTCTCCAAAGAGCGTATTACCCGGGATGCAGCAGACAGCGCTCGTGCCCGCATTTCTACCAGTCTGAAGATGGACGACCTTTCTTCAGTGGATTTTGTCATTGAGGCTGTCCCTGAAATTCCTGACCTCAAAACCTCAATATTCTCCCAGTTGGCTCAAATTGCCTCCAAGGATGCCATTCTCGCGACAAACACCTCGTCGATTTCCATCACTAAGATTGCCGCTGCGACCACCAAGGACCCTACAGACCTGCAGGCCTCTTCGCGTGTTATCTCGACGCACTTCATGAACCCAGTTCCGATTCAGAAGGGTGTTGAGATCATCTCCGGTCTGCAGACTTCGCAGGAGACGCTCAGCACAGCCGTCGAATTTGTGAAGCGCATGGGCAAGGTCGCGTCTGTCTCGGCTGATGCTCCCGGTTTCCTCGCCAACCGTATTTTGATGCCTTATATCAACGAGGCTATCATCTGCCTAGAGACTGGTGTCGGTGGCCGCGAAGACATTGACAGCATTATGAAGAACGGAACCAACGTCCCCATGGGTCCATTGACGCTAGCGGACTTCATTGGTCTTGACACGTGCTTGGCCATCATGAATGTCCTGCACCAGGAGATTGGTGACAGCAAGTACAGGCCATCCGGTCTGTTGCGGAGGATGGTCAATGCCGGTTGGTTGGGTAAGAAGTCTGGAAAGGGCTTCTATGAGTACTAATAGATGTGTATGATTGTCTTATAACGCAGTACATAGTTGAAACGTGATAAAAGAATGATGTACCAGGACTATATTCATTTGATATGATTAAAGGACCGTCGGATACAAAATATGGCCACGGGCTTTCAGCACAACAGTACACAGACATGCGTGTACGCATCGATCTTAATGCTGAGACAGGGATGAATGATGCTACGTTAATAAGAAGATCCCTGGAATTTTCAAGGCCAAGTTCGCCCAATGCCTCTTCTTTTCCAGCCTTTCTTGCTCCTCTGCTTCCTCCGCCAGCCATCATTTCCACGACTACCATACGCACTCCAGGATCGTCATTACTGTATGATGACTAGCTGTCACCAGCGACGAATTTCAACGTTCTGAGCACGTCGATTTGCTGTTGGCTTCACACACGTGCAGTTTCCGATTTTATAACCGATCTGTGACTGTTTAAAGGCATCCGATAATTAGCCGGGAATATGATGTTTATTTGATGGAATTAATGGCATATTAGAATGACATCCTGCATCTGCAATATATATGGGTACAGCCTGAAACGCGCGCTGCACCATCGCAAATGAACGGAACATGCACAGACTATACGTGTATCAGTTCTGGCGTGCTGCTCGGTTACTATGATATGATCATCACATGTCTTTCTTCCTGAGGTTTTGGCCTTGGGCCACAGCGGATGAACGCGGTTCTTTGGTAGATGCTGACATTCTGAGCCGTGCATCCCCTCGTGAAAATGAATCATGAAACATGAATAAGGGAAAGCACCCGCTATGCTGCCAGATTTGATTTTGTCTCTGATAAGATACGTTTCGGTGGAAATATCTTCCTGTGGTTTTTTTTTTTTTTTTTTTTTTTT